GAGACAAGAACAGCCCCACAAGGACCAAAGACTCAATTGTGAATTTCCAGACGGTTCTAAACCAGAACCTGCGGGGTCTGAGGAAAGCAAAGCAGCAGTGGCAGAGGTCTGGGTGGTAGCTGAGTGACAGGCCTGGCAGGAACGCATGTGGAATCTAATTTCACATCATTAAGCTCTCTGGCAGCCCTGCTGCCATCCCAGGTCCCAGCCAAAACCTCCGAGTGAGCAGAGCCCAGGAAGGGGTGCTCGTGGGGGTGGCAGAGCTGTCTTCTCAACACCAGTCTTGGGCCGTGATGTGGGAATGTGGAGGGAGGGTCTTGCTGAAATGGGCTGTCTTGGGGGCTGGGGGGTGGCCCTGGCTCGGCCAGGCTGGGTAAAGGCTGCTTTGGGTCTGGGCTACAGATCAGTAGTTGTTCACCCTGGTTCTGGTCCAACCAGCTCTGCAGTTAAGCTCACAGCGTTGTCCAGGTGACTTCTTGTAGAGGGCATTTGCCAAGCCCTGGGGCAGATCCTTGGTTGGCAGGGGAGAGGGGAGCGCGAGCCCTCAGCGTGGAGGGCCAGTTCCCATTTGTCAGGCTTGGGAAGCAGCACAGAGCCCCACTTGGAGCTTGACCTCCAGGGTCAGGCGCTGGCAACCCAGCTCTGAGCTCAGATCTCGATCCTGTGAGCTGGAGACCATGCCCTCTGCCGGCACCAGGGCCAGCTCCAGGCAGCTGGCAGTTTCTATTTGGTGCCTCTGTGGGGGAGGGGGGTAATGCCAGCACCGACCAGACTGTGGGATTCCAGTAAAAAGTGCTCAGCACAGTTCCTGGTATTCGTGATGCCATCAATAAACAGCTCCTCTCCTGCCCTGAAGCTGGGGTCTGTTTCCCACGGATGGGAAGCAGCACAGACCTAAGGACTCCAGCAGTGCACTTTTTTTTTTTTTTTTTTTTGACAGGCAGAGTGGACAGTGAGAGAGAGAGACAGAGAGAAAGGTCTTCCTTTGCCGTTGGTTCACCCTCCAATGGCCGCCGCAGCTGGCGCGCTGCGGCCGGCGCACTGCGCTGATCTGAAGGCAGGAGCCAGGAGCCAGGTGCTTATCCTGGTCTCCCATGGGGTGCAGGGCCCAAACACTTGGGCCATCCTCCACTGCACTTCCGGGCCACAGCAGAGAGCTGGCCTGGAAGAGGGGCAACCGGGACAGAATTCGGCACCCTGACCAGGACTAGAACCCGGTGTGCCGGTGCCGCAAGGCGGAGGATTAATCTAGTGAGCCGCGGCGCCGGCCAGCAGTGCACTTTTGCATTCTCACAGGGAAGTCTTACCAAGGCCAGCAGGGCTGCTTTGCTCTGGGAGAGTCCAGGAGGATGAATGCATGACCTTGCCTGTCCCAGCTCCTCAGGGCCCCCTGCATTCCTGGGCTCCTGGTCCCATCCTCCTACCTTCAAAGCTGGCAGTGTAGCACCCCCCACTCAGTTCCTCTCTCCCTCTTCTGTTGTCACAATGCCTTTCCTCTGACTCTGTCCTGGCCTGCTACCTAGGAGGACCCCTGTGGCTGCAGCAGCCCACCTGGAGAACCCGCAGTGATCTCCCCATCTCAGATGTCACTGTGTCTGCAGAGTGTGTGGTCACGCAGGGTATCACATTCACAGGGCTCAGGGATTTGGATATTAGGATGTGGGTATCTTTCAGGAGGTTACCGTTCTGCCCACCCCAGGGTCACAGACTTCAGGGACCGCAGCTCCAGCACAAATCAGCTAACTGGGTGCTGAGAGGAGGCAAAGGATGAAGCCTGCTTTTGGGGAATGGGTGAGAAGTCTACCTGCATGACCAGGCCTGGGAGGACCCGAGGCAGCTCACCTGCTCGGCAGGGGTCAGCTTGCAAGATTTCCCACGGCTTCCTATAAGCCCCCAGCCCATGTTAAGGGTGTGCATTCAGTGCCCAGAAAGGGATCCATTTGAGACTCCAGATACACATCTGGTGCTTGAAAAAGGAGTATGAGAGTGAGGAAATCATCAGAGCAGGGGAAGACACAGAATTGGTGTGGCAGGGCCTGGGGTAGGATCCCAGCTCTGCCAGTTCCTAGTGTGGTCTGTTCTCTTCCTTTTAAGTCTCGTGTCTGTTGTGTAATGGGGAAGTATAGGATCCACCCATGTTAGTCGAGTGCTTTAGGCTCAGTATCTACCTCAGTGAGGTGCTTAAGGCCCAGTGCCCACCTCAGTAGGGGTACTTTAAGCTTAGTACTCATATCAGTGGGGTGTGCCTGAGACTCAGTACCTGTCTCAATGGGGTGCTCGAGGCTCAGTTCTCACTTCAGTGGGGTGTTTGAGGCTCAGTTCCCACTTCAGTGGGGTATTTGAGGCTCAGTGCCCACTTCAGTGAGGTGCTGAGGTACTTGAAGCTCAATATCCATCTCAGGATGGTGCTTGAGGCTCAAGCTCAGTGAGGTGCTTCAGGCTCAGGATCCTTCTCAGTGGGGTGCTTGGAGCTTAGTACCCAACTCAGTGGGGTGCTTGAGGTTCAGTACCCATCTCAGTGGGAGTGCTTAAGGGCTGAATGAGAGCATGAAAAGGATGTGTAAGGTGCAGTAAATGTGTCAGGTATACGTGTGAGGTTCTGGGCCCTGGGGAAGAGGAGTGTAGAGGTCTCGGGAGCAAGGCAGGGCATGTGGCAGGTGCTGCTGTAAGATTGGGTGTCTAGGAGGTGAGACTTCTGCTGTGTCTTCTTTTTTTTAAAGCATTTGTTTATTTGAGAGAAATCTTCCATCCTCTGGTTTTCTTCCCAAATAGCCTCAGTAGATGACTCTAGGCCAGGCTGAAGCCAGGAGCCAGGAGCTCGATCTGGGTCCCCCACAGGAGTGTCAGGAACTCAAGCACTGGGCTGTCACCTTGCTTCCCAGGCACATTAGCAAGAAGCTGGGGTGAAAGCAGAGCAGCCTGGACTCTGCTTAACCCACTGCACCATAGCACCAGTCTCCTTCTGCATGTCTTTAGGGAGAGGTGGGATTCAGACAAGAGAAGAGCCCGGGTGAAAGGGGGCGTGGCAGGTGCAGCAGGACCTAGGTTCAGAGGCTGGAACTCTCCTGGCATGTTGAGAAAACCGAGCAATCGATGGAAGGGGAGAGGCGCTGGAGCAGGGCAGGTGTTGAAGGCCTTGCTGGACCCCATACCATCGCTTTACTTGCTGTTGTCATTGTTTCCTGATGTCTTTCTGTCCTCCGCGAATGTAAGTCACGTGAGAGCAGGGATGTGTCTGTCTCCTGTTGAATCCCCGGGGTCTCGTAGGCATTCAGCAGATACTTGTTGAATGAACAGATAAATGAGCAAATCACCCAGCTGAACCCCGCAGTCACATTCTGCAGTATTAGTGTTAGGTCAGGGGCCGGCCTCACGTGCAGGGATCTTAGAAGCCTGGGTTGGTGGGAGAGGCCAGCTGGGAGGATCCCTGTGGCAGAGGGGGTGCCGTGGGCTGTGGCCACAGACACACAGGGCAGGGGGAAGGGCACAAGTAGGTCCCGTGGGGCTGATGTAGTGCGAGGGAGGGAGAGAGGAGGAAGATGGGCCATAAGTGACTCTTGGGGATCTGGAGGACATGAATGGCTCGTTTTTGTAGTGAGGGAACTGTTGGCTGCTTCTGTGGTGCAGGCGCCAGACTGGCGGGTGGATATTAAAGGCCATACGGGGCCTGGTCACTCCTGCAGGGGAGCACAGTTCTGGGAGGGGGAGGCTAGGAAGCGCTGAGGGAGGAGGCTTTTGAGTGCTGCATAGCCAGGCCCTGCCATGCTGGGGTTGAGCCCCCAGGACAGGAAGTTGTCATCAGATGCATTACTGGGAGGCCACAAGGCTGGGACTCCCACTTCTTCTTCTTCTATTTTTTTTTTTTTTTAAGATTTATTTATTTATTTGAGAGGTAGAGTCACAGAGAGGCAGAGAGAGAGAGAGAGAGGTTTTCCATCTGATGGTTCACTCCTCAAATGACCACAATGGCCAGAGCTGGGCCGATCTGAAGCCAAGAACTTCTTCCAGGTCTCCCACGTGGGTGCAGGGGCCCAAGGACTTGGGCCATGTTCTACTGCTTTCCCAGGCCATAGCAGAGAGCTGGATCAGAAGAGGAGCAGCCAGGACTCAAACCAGTGCCCACATGGGATGCTGGCACCACAGGCGGCAGCTTTTACCTACCCTGCCACAGCACTGGCCCCTGGGGCTCCCACTTCTGTCCCATTCTCTGTACTCTCCTGACAAATGGGTGCCCCTTCTGTCCCACTGCTGTGCCCTCCCAGGTGACCACACCCTGCTGCTTCAAGATCCTTTTTGATGTCTGTATACTGTATACCTCCCTCCCCGCCAGGCATCAGGGTGGGTCCTTTGTCTTGCAAGGTTGACAGGGATGGTTGGGAGGGTGGGGGGCTGAGAGACAAATGGACAGACAGACGGATGGATGGGTAGATGAATATCAAATAAGGAAACGTGGAAGAAAGGATGGGAGAGAAACAAAGCAAGATGCAAACGGTGAGAGAATGAGCGACTGTTTTTCCTTTGTGGTTTTTTTATTTTCCAAATGTTCTGTAGTAGTAGCTGGCGTTTATCCACTGGAAAAATGTCAGCTTGGACAAAGATAAAAAGGGCACTGAGGGGCCTGCGCAGTGGCGAAGTGAGTAAAAGCCACTGCCTGCAGTGCCGGCAGCCCTTATGGGTGCCAGTTCAAGTCCCGGCTGCTCCACTTCCAATCCAGCTCGCTGCTATGACCTGGGAAAGCAGTGGAAGATGGTCCAAGTCCTTGGGCCCCTGCACCCATGTGGGAGACCCAGAAGAATCTCCTGGCTTCAGATCGGCCCAGCTCTGGCCATTGTGGTCATTTCAGGAGTAAACCAGTGGGTGGAAGACTCCTCTGTCTCTCTCTCTCTGCCTCTGCCTCTCTCTAACTGCCTTTCAAGTAAATAAATAGATTTTTTTTTTTTTTTTTTTAAAGAGCACTGAGGACTTGGGCCTCCCTTCTCATGAGCTTTGCTTTGGTGCAGGTGGAGGCGGGGAAAGGCCTGGAGATGCGGAAGCTGGTGCTCTCGGGGTTCCTGGCCAGCGAGGAGATCTACATTAACCAGCTGGAAGCCCTGCTGCTGGTGAGTACGTGCCCTGCGCCTTCTGGGCGCCTGCCCGACAGTGCCACCCTCTAAAGCTGCTGTGGGGTTGGAGAGGAAGAAGGACTGCCCCGCTCCTTCCTGGTGGTCAGGCCACGGAGTAGCTCTGCTTGCCACAAGGCTTCGGGCAGCCAGGGGCATCGCCAGAAAAGACGTGTGCCTCTCAGCTCTGACTTGCTAGTACCCTGCTCTGGGGCAGGCAGGAGAAGACGCACAGCCAGGTTAGGAATGGCACATGCTCCCGTCCCCAGGACTGTGGCACAGGCATCACTAATCGATGTAGAACTCTGTCCCTGGGGAGCCTTGCTGCCTGCTCCAGTCTGTGCTCTGGGTGTGTCTGCCAATCATCAGGTTGGAACCTCTGAATGCTCCCTAGTCCAAATCCCTGTGCCTTCCTCGGAGAGTGAACCATCAGCACCATCCCAGGGCTGCACGGGAGGCCTGTGTCTCTGTGAGATTTGCCATAGTTCTGAGGGGCACTAGACGGACCCCAGCCGTCACTGAAGGTACCTCAACTTCCTCCCCAGGATGGAGGTGTTGTTGTGAGAGTGAGAGAGGGAGGGGATATCGCAGCGTGTGGCACAGACGTAAGATGTTTTTGCTTTTGGAGAAAGGCATATTAGATACGTCTGTATTATGCAGAGCGATTGTGGCTTGTACGGTTCTGTGCTGTGGGTGTTTTGTAGTTGGAGACAGAAGCCGACGTCAGACAAAGGGAGTGAGAAATGTTGGAACAGGTTCCTAGAAGCTCAGTTCTTGCACAAATTATAAGAGACACATGTGCTAGGCGTGAGACGGGGCGTTGTCACCCAGTGTCCCAGGAGACCTGGCGCTGATGACGCAAGCTGTGGTTGTTGAGATGCGGAGATACTGAGCCGAGTGTGTGTTAGCTCTCACCAGGAGTGTGCTGGAGTGCACGGCCGTGTTTTCCCGGTGAGGGACACTTGGGCAGGCAGGTGAGGGGTCTGGGCTGCAGCCAGAACCAGGGCCAGATCCACTCTGCCATCAGTAGGCAGCACATTGCATGCGCTCTTTATCAAACTGTGCACTGCAGTCCCTCAGTGGGTTGTGAAATCAGTGCAGTAGGTTAAACCAGCGTTTTGAAAGAAACACAAAAGGGAGTATCTGCCTGTCTCAGAGTGAGGCTGAGAACTGTTTCAACCTTTGGTCATGAAGTGTGTGTGTGTGCAGTTCTGTACACGTGCGTGCTGTGTGCTATTTATGAACTTCTTAACCTCATTCTCTTCTGAAGATGAAGGTGGAGTGCTCCACCTTGTGCAGGGGGAGCACATCCCAAGCCCCCAGTGGGTTCCTGGGAGTGCAGGTGATGCCAAACCCGACAGAGACCGTTTTCCCGCTCCGTGCACACCCATGGTGACATTTAATCTTCAAGTTAGGCACCCTGAGAGTGACAGCAGTGACAGGACAGTTCTAATTATAGACCATTAAAAAAATTACATGAACGTGGTCTCTTTCAGTGTGGTCAAGACAAATATTTTCGGCCCCTGGTTGAGCCCTGGTAACTGACATGGCAGAGAGAGAAGCCGTGGGCCAGGGGCGCGCAGTCACCCCCTGCCCTTCCCTCTCATCAGGATCAGATGTTCCTGGTACCACCCTGCCGGGTCCTGAAAGCTCTGAGGTACTGGCTGAGGGCTGGGGGACCTGCGGCTCCCGGGAGACGGGGAGACACACCTTCTAGGCCATCATTGCTGTGCCCCAAAAGGGCGTTGTCCCTGTGACTCGGCTGTGAGTCCCCACTTGACCACCTCCTAGCTCTAGACCCGCAGCAGGTGAGCGGGCCTGTGTGCCTCATTGTTTCCCTCTGCAAAGTGGGTACACAAACTCTGCTGTCTTGCCAGGTTGCTGCGAGGATCACAGAGTCTGTCTGGGAACCTCTGTGAGCAGAGCCTGCTCTGTTAGCTGGCGCTGGGATTTTCTCCCGTGCTGCGGAGAAGGCAGGTCCGGGCCTGTCTCTGTCCGCACAGCCTTTCCCTGAAGCAGGGGTGGTGCCTGTGCCCACTGGGCCAGCTCACATTCAGGGGCCAGGACCCCTCCCGGTCCTGCCTTGCCTTGCAGCTCCTGTCTCAAAGGCAGAAACTGAGGTGGGGGCCCCAGGGCAGGGAGGGGACAGAGAGAGGGAAGGAGGCACTGGGTAGGAGGCTGGGGCTGTGGCAGGAAGGGCAGGACTCTCCACAGTCTCAGAAATAAACCTCCAGCCCCTCCCTTCCCCTCCCCTCTGCTGTCCTGGGTGGTTGGTGGGGCCAGCTCAGAAAAACTGTGTCCTCCTCCCACCTGGATCCCACAGCTCTGCCCCTACCTCTGTGTCTGTTTCCATCTCAACATTTGCTGATATGCAAATAAACATTGCTGATATGTATACACACACAGCGTAGGAGTCTCATTCCCGCCCCCTGGGCTGGCTGCTGGGGGAGGTTGGGGAATCTTCTGGAACCTTGCTGGGTCCTGGTGGGCTCTGAGATTACAAGTAAGGTCCTGGCACCAGGGCTGAGGTGGGAGGAGAGAGAGAGGGGAAAGGAGAGAGGGGAGAGGGAGAAAGCCAAATGCATTCTAATTCTGCATCTGCCAGTCCTGGGACGTGAGCTTGGGGTCTGCCTCTTGCCTGTGCTGGGACCACGGGGTGTGGGCCATTGCTCATAGCAGCCCTCACTGTGGAGTTCATAGTCCCACTGCTTCTCAGGTTCCTTATCTGTGAAACAGATTGATGGGCTCCAGAAGGCGTGACCGAGGAGGGGTGTTAGCCAGGCAGGTTTCCAAAGGCCAGTTGCCTTTGGACAGAGCAAATCAACTGTCACCCAGAGGAGCTCCTGGACTGGGAAATGGAGAGCTAGGATTGGGAGGTGACCGGGGCCCGCCCCAGCCCCTGCAGCCATGCCCCCTGGAGGAGAGGGGAGGCCACTGCTAGCCGTGAGGATGCTGGGGGAGGGGGCCCTTCTGCAGTCCCTCCTCCCCTGAGGCCCAGCCCTTCCCCTGTCCCCAGGTGAAATCAGAGGTGACAGCAAAGTTCCCCGAACTGTGTGGTGGCCCAGGTGCAGGCCTGGCCGTGTATCCGAGTCTCCCCCTCCTGTAGACAGAGCTGGGAGTTTGGGAGTGCAGGAGGCAGCGCAGTGGCGGTCTGGAGGCGGAAGCCACACGTGCGCTTCCCCAGCAGCTTCCCTGTCCCCCTCTGGCCTCTCCGGAGGGGATTGTGCCAAGGCAGGGGCAAGGATCAGTGGTTCTGGGACTTGGACCCCTGTGAGTCCGCTCCTTGGATCCTGAGCAGAGGGGAAAAGGATGAACTCCACAGCAACACGTCCTCGCCCCAGGCCTGGGAGAAGGGAGTCCCTCCTGACGCCTGGTTCTCTGCCTGGCTGACCCAGCTCCTACCCCTCGACCTGCTCAGATCTTCCCAGCCTTGGAAGCCCCGTCCCGTCCACCTCCTCTGTGAAGCCCTGTGAACAGCTCTAGGTCAGCCTTTCTTTTGTTGTTGTTGTTGTTTTTTTTGAAGATTGATTTATTTGAAAAGCAGAGTTACAGAGACAGAGAAGGGGAGAGAGAGAATCTTAAATCTGCTGGTTCACTCCCCAATGGCTACAACAACTGGGGCTGGGCCAGGCAGAAGCCAGGAGCTTCTTCCAGATCTCATGTGGGTGCAGGGGCCCAAGTTTTTGGGCCATCTTCCACTGCTTTCCCAGTTGCTTTAGCAGGAAGCTGGATTAGAAGTGGAGCAGCTGGAGGCCGGCGCCATGGCTCACTAGGCTAATCCTCCGCCTAACGGCGCCGGCACACCGGGTTCTAGTCCCAGTCGGGGCGCCGGATTCTGTCCCGGTTGCCCCTCTTCCAGGCCAGCTCTCTGCTGTGGCCAGGGAGTGCAGTGGAGGATGGCCCAAGTGCTTGGGCCCTGCACCCCATGGGAAACCAGGAGAAGCACCTGGCTCCTGCCTTCGGATCAGCGCGGTGCGCCGGCCGCAGCGCGCCAGCCGCGGCGGCCATTGGAGGGTGAACCAACGGCAAAGGAAGACCTTTCTCTCTGTCTCTCTCTCTCACTGTCCACTCTGCCTGTCAAAAAAAAAAAAAAAAAAAAAAAGAAGTGGAGCAGCTGGGACTCGAACCAGCATCCAGAAGGGACGCCGGCACTGCAGGCCATGGCTCAACCCCCATGCCACAGCACCAGCCCCTCCAGTTCAGCCTTGAGCCACTTGCTTGGTATTCACGGTCCAGTCGGGTCTTACCCTCTCTCTCCTTATGTGCTAGGTGGTTTTGGGCTTATTTTACCTAAGTAAATTTTAAAATTCTCAAGGGCAGGAACCACGGGACCTGAAAGTAATTGGGAACAAAGATCAGACCCTCCTCATTCTCTGGCCCCGAACCGGGTCATCAGGTGTCGGAGGCCACACACTGTCCCCCACACTCCAGCCTCGCTGTGAGTCCCTCTCCCCCTTGCCCACGGCACATGGCACACTGGCCACTTGTGGCTCCTCTCCCGCTCTGAGTCTGCCACAGCTGCAGGACCAGGCATGGAGGAAGCCTGCCTCCTGGGATCCCGAAGCCTCACCCCCACCCTGGCTCCCATGTTTCTCTGTCCTGGTAGCCGTCCCCTCTTGGCGATGCCGTCTGCCATGGCCCTGCCTCTGTCCTTCCTTGCTCTATTTAGGTGGCGATTGTTTGCTTTCGTGTCCGTCTCCGTACCCAGTGGGAAGCTGCACGGGGCAGGGATTGTGCGTGTTCTGTGTACCACTGAATACCTGGCGATAGCCTCGCACGTTCTTTGTGGGGTGAGCTGTTGTCATCCCAGGGACTGGCGTGTGGGCTGCCTTCTGAGTGCCGGGCATGTCCCGGGTACCTCAGGTCTGTTGTGGCTTTTGATCTTCCTGTCAGTCAGTTCTATGGAAAAGGCGGTCTCAAACCATCCCAGTTTTACAAATGAGGCTGCCGGCCACTGGTGATGCCAAGTCCCACCGCAGCTTCTGCAGGGCAGCTTGGAGAGCTCAGATGCACACCTGGCCCGCTCCGGGTTGAATGCATCCTGGTTCCCCAGCAAAGCCGGGACTCCTGGGTCAGGAGGAGGGGTTCTGCAATATCCTGCCTTTTTTGTCACGTCTGGACCTTGTAGAGGGCAGAGCACGGCCTGAGTGGACAGAGCGGTGAGGCTGACAGGGGCTGGGGGTTTAGCTGCTGTCTTTGGCTCTAGCCGGTGGTAGCCATGGTGTTGGGTAGGCAGGCATTGCCTGTATGACAGCATGGTTGGCCCTGGAGACACACGTTCTGTGCTGGAGTGTTTCTCTGGCCAGAAAGCTCAGTACCTCATCCTGTGAGACAGCAGGGCACTGCTCCAGTGAACCTGAACCTGACCCCAAACTTCTCCCCACTGCTCCTGGGCCTGCAGAGTAATTCAGACAGGACCCAAGGCCTCTTCCCATGTAGCCTTCAGAGAGGTGGGCAGGTGTGCCCTCCCCTCCCCCGCCCCCTCTCCTGCAGGGCCTCTGTTGTGCAGGCTGACTTGGGAAATACCGAAGAGGATGCAGCCAGGCCCCTTCATCCCACAGCCTTGCCACTGGACATTCGGGTGAGGGCAGCAGCTCCCAGCCCGTGCTGGGGGAACGTCCTGAGGACTTCCTGTCCCCTCACCATGGCCACTTGCGGGCTGAGCCAGAGCATCTCGGTGTAGACAAGCAGGGGTGACAGGCTTCATTTGCACATCCACCCCAGCGTTGGGGGAGAGTCTGAGACCGCAGGCACACTCGGTGAGAAAGAGCCGTGTGGTTGCTTAGCAGTGTCTGCGTGGCTGTGAAGTCAGAGGGCGACACGTGTGCCGCTTGCTCCTCCCCGGCACTCGGTGACGGGGCTCGAGGTGGAAGCTGAGATTGCTCTTGAGTCTTTTTGAGGCTCTGCTTGCTGAGTCCTACAGCCACGTTCTGTCTCTTGAAGCAGCTAAGGGGTCGAATGCCCAGTCAGCGCCCACTCCATCCGTGGGACCAGGACCAAGGCACATCCCGTGCAGGCCCTGGGCCGACGAGCTCAGACAAGGGACGCAGGGTGTGCCCTGGCAGCCGCCCTTGGACCTGGCAGGGCTGCTGGGCCAGCTCCCAGCTGTCAGCTTCCCTCTCCTTGCAGGAGTGCGTGTCTTGTTGGGGCCTGCGACAGCAGCTCTGTGATACGAGCCACGCTTTGGTGCCCAGTCTTTGGTGGCCTTGTCTAGGCAGGCAGGCAGGGCTAAGCAGTGCCACCGTGCCCGACATCACCGACATTCTGGTTTACAACTGCTCGCCTCCTACCTCTGCTCTTTCCATCCCTCCCTTGCCCAGCCCATGAAGCCCCTGAAAGCCACGGCCACCACCTCGCAGCCCGTGCTCACCATCCAGCAGATCGAGACCATCTTCTACAAGATCCAGGACATCTACGAGATCCACAAGGAGTTCTACGACAACCTCTGCCCCAAGGTGCAGCAGTGGGACAGCCAGGTCACCATGGGCCACCTCTTCCAGAAGCTGGTGAGTCTCCTGTGGATGAGGGTCTTCACGCAGGGCTTCGGGAGCACGGCTCCTGTTGGCAGATGGCCCTGGGAGGGCACGGGGCAGCCTCAGCCCTCTGGGCTTCCTCCAAGGCCGGGCCATCACGGGGCAGGGGCTCCGGGCCGCCCTTGGTGAAGCCCTGGGAGTGCCTGTAGAGGCGACGGAGTCTGGCCACGTGCATGAGAGCTTCCAGGAGAGCACCGTTCCTCTCTCCCTAGGGGCCAGCAAGGGGCCAGAGGCTGCTCTGTGGGACATCGGGTGCCCTGGCTCTCCATGGACAGAGAGGCCTGAGCCCAGCCGGGGGCCAAGGACTGCTCGCCAAGAGCTCGGGGCCTGCTGCCTCTGTTCAGTGAAGCAGTTGACAGGCGACTGTGCAGCTGGTGATCCTCTCCTGAGGTCCCCAGGGCAGAAAGACATCCTGGGGATGGGGGTGGGGGGGAGGTATGAGGCTGAGTGAACAGCAGACTCCATGTTCGGAAATGCTCCGGGAACTCTGGTTCCCGAGGCTTCCTGGCTCTGCCTCCACCTCTGCCAGCCACTCCGGAGAACCCCCAGGCCAGACCTGCAGCGCCCTCCGTGCCGCCCTCCACAGCCTCAGCTCAGCAGGCAGGAAGGAGCCTGCTGGTGCTGTTCGCTTGGTGTGGACAGTTAGGGAGCAGGGAGCAGCACCGCTCTGTGCAAGGACAGGGTTCTGCCTTTCCTACTGAGGGCAGAGCTCTTGTTCCGACTCTCACAGGGCCGCAAGCTCAGTCCGCACAAATGTGAGCTCAGCACCTCTGCGGGGATCAGTTCTCCCTCCCATCTTCATTGCAGTGCGTGGCTTGGACTCATCCAGGGTTTTCTACTTCTTTCTACCTACTCTAGTGCCCTCGTCTTGGCCACCAGCTACCTTCACCTGGACCCCTGCAGTGGCCTCATGGGTGGCTCCACCCCACCAACTCCTATAATAGCGGCAAGGGTCCTCAAAACCCCTGCCAGGGTGGGCATTAGTGCACCAGTTAAGATGCAACCTGGGCCGGCACCACGGCTCAATAGGCTAATCCTCTGCCAGCGGTGCTGGCACACCAGGTTCTAGTCCCGGTTGGGGCACCGGATTCTGTCCCGGTTGCCCCTCTTCCAGGCCAGCTCTCTGCTGTGGCCAGGGAGTGCAGTGGAGGATGGCCCAAGTGCTTGGGCCCTGCATCCCATGGGAGACCAGGAGAAGTACCTGGCTCCTGCCTTCAGATCAGCGCGGTGCACCGGCTGCAGCGCACCAGCTGTAGCGGCCATTGGAGGGTGAACCAACGGCAAAAGGAAGACCTTTCTCTCTCTCTCTCTCACTGTCCACTCTGCCTGTCCAAAAAAAAAAAAAAAAGATGCAACCTGGAGGTCTGGTATTGTGGCGTAGTGGGTTAAGCTGCCACCTGCAGTGCTAACATCCCATGTGGGTGCTGGTTCGAGACCTGGCTGCCCCACTTCCAATCCAGCTCCCTGATAATGTGCCTGGGAAAGCAGTAGAAGATGGCCTAAGTGCTTCAGCCCATGCATCCAGGTAGGAGAACTTGCAGAAGCTTCTGGCTCCTGGCTTTGGCCTGGCACAGCCCCGGCCATTGCAACCATTTGAGGAGTGAACCAGCGGATAGAAGATCTGTCTCTCTCTTTCTCTCTCCTTCTATCTCTCTAAATCTCTGTCACTCTGTCTTTGAAATAAGTAAAAATAAATCCTAACACACACACACACACACACACACACACACACACACACACACCCCTTGGGAAGCCTGCATTCCAGATCGGTGTGGCCTTCAGTCCTGACTGTACTCCCGATTCCAGCTCCCTGCTGATACACAACATGGGAGACAGCAGCAAAGGCTCCAGTGCCTGGGTCCCTAAATTTGACCTGGCCCAGCCTCTGCTGTTGCGGGCCTTTGGGCTTGGAAGATCCTCTCTCTGTCTCTGCCTTTCAAGTAAGTAAAAATGAATAAATAATAAAGCTCTTATTTAACAAACAAGCAAACTTTTGCCAGACCTTGCTTCTCCACCCTGCCTTGGCCCCTTCAGCAGCTCTGCCATGTGTTGGCTAAGGGCCAGGCCCCGAGGAATGGCTTTCAGGGCCCTTCCTGTGTCGGCCTCTGCCCACCCCGTGCCCCTGACCCTGGACTTCGTGCTCAGTTCACACTGCGGGGGCTTAACAGCCTCTGTATGCCTGTGGCTCCATCTCCCAAAAAGTCCTCTCCCTTCTTGTCAGGTTTATCCCAGACGGTTCTCAGAGAAGAAACCTCCCCAGAGAGTCTTCAGAAAGTTCATGGAAATGGGTATTATAAAAAAAAACTAGGCACGAATTTCAAAAATGTTTGCACCCAAATAAGCTTGTCTTTTAAGTACAGTTTTCTGTGCACTTTTTGAAGCACCCTCACAGTTGCCTGCCTCCACAAACCATAAACTCCAGGAGGATGAACCCTGTTTTCTTCTCATTAGGCCTCAGAAGCAGCCCATGGTCAATACGTGACTGAATGAATGTCCCACGGGTGACTGTGACCACTGGGGACTTGGAAGGGCAACGAGGGAGGCTTCACGGGCCTGAGATCCGTGCCCCGGGAGCTGTTAGTTCAGACCAGCTGCGTTGGGGTGGGCATTTGGCCCAGCGATTAAGATGCTAGTTAGGTGACCAGTGTTGTAGCGCAGGGACCAAGGCTGTCTCTGCAATATCGGCATCTCCTACCAGAGCACTGGTTCAAGTCCTGGCTTCTCTGCTTCTGATCCAGCTCCCTGCTAATGTGCCTGGGAAAGCAGCAGAGGATAGGATACCTACATGGACCTCTGGGCTCTTCGCTTTGGCCTGGCCCATCCATTGTAGCCATTTGGAGAGTGAACCAGCCATGGAAGATATTCATTTTCTCTCTCTCTGCCACTCTGCCACTCTGCCTTTCAAATAAATTAGAGAAGTTAAAAAGAAGCCAATTAAGATGCCTGTGTCTTAGCAGAGTGCCTGGATTCGACGTCCAGCTCCTGCCGATGTACAGTCTGGAAGGCGGCAGTGACGGCTCAAGTTATTGGGTTCCTGCCTCTCACATGAAAGAACTGGATTGAGTTCTGGACTCTCAGATCCAGCGCCTGGCCCAGGGCTGTTGCAGACATTTGGGGAGTGAATCAATGGATGGGGGAGCTCTCGCTCTCTCCATCTTTGTCCCTCCCTCTCTCAAATTTACAAAGATGGGTATGCTTATTTTAAAGGAAGCCCAGTGGTGCTGCGGGTGCAGGCAGGGCTTCTAACCCAGCAGGGTCAGTTAGACTGGGACTGTGCGATTCGCCCAGCCTCCTGTCGCTCAGCTTCCTTGGCGGCAGGAATGAGAACTCTCACAGTGTTTCCCTTGTTGGGAGTGTGTGAGGAGTGAGGGCTACTTGCAAAGTGCTCGGAGCAGGGCCTAGAGCATCCTCAATTAGGAAACCCTTGGGAGTTAGCTGTTATCACGACTCTTACTGTTACTCTTGTTACTAGGAAGAGGCACCCTAGGAGGCCTTGTTCCAAGGGAACCCACACTTCTGGTCCTGGCAGACCCCCAAAGCTTCCCCCAGTGTAGGGCTTGTGGGCACCCGGAAATCATTCCCCTGGTGCCAGGCGCCGGAGCTGGTAGACCTTGGGGAAGGCCTGTGTCTCTACGCTTGGCAGGGCCAGCAGGGACCAGAACATGGTGAAAAGGCTGTCCCTGTTTATCTCCCATCCTGGTCTCAGCCCCACAGGCCTGGTCGTGACTTCGCTACCCATGTCCCCCTCCCCGAGCAGTGTGAACTGACGAAGGCCAAAGCTCAGGGGGGAGCGGGGGCAGCCGGCATCGGGAGGCAGTTTGTTTTCAGCAGAAGTCTCTGGATATTGGATTATTCAGTACCGAGAGGGGGAATCAACATCTCTGCAGTTTGCTTTATGAGATTGCTCCAGTGCCAGGCTGTGTTTCCAAGCAACCCCATCTCCCAGTTAACGACCCTGGCAGGCCGGGTCTCAGGCCCTCTAACTTAGGGTGGCTGTGGTGATGGCAGCGCCTGGGATGGCTGGGGCCCCTGTATTTAGGCCTCTGCACAGGTGGCCCCTGCCCCTGGCTCTCAGAGGGAGGTGACCCAGCTGGGCATCCTGCTTTATCCTTCTCATGGGAAGGGACCAGGGGAGTCCTTTCCTGGAAGAGGAGTGTCAGTGATTGGAATGTAGCTTAAGAAGCCACTGTCTGCTGTCCCCCATAACTTGGGGATACCAACAGGCCAGGATCCCCCCTGGAAGAAGACCCCATCTATTCCTGCCCCACCCCCAGAGGTTTGTTTCCGAGAAGTCCTGCCCCTCTGGGGCTGAGACCTGTGCTACTCTGGGCTCAGCTTCTCCCCATGCTGGCCAGTTCTCAGTCCCCTCTCTGGCTTCCCTGACACTTCCTGGAGGGTCATGTCAGCTGGCCCCATGCCCTTGGGGGAGCACAGTGTTCTGAGGTGGGCTCAGGGGCAGCCCATGCTCCCCAGTACCTGGTGGAAAGCAGAAGCTGAGCGAGCCCAGCAGAAGCCATAGCCACTTGTTCCTCCGCTGGAACCCAGTGTAGACCAGAACATCTCAAGAATAAGGTAGCAAACGACTGTTTCCTCCGCTCCCAAGATGGGAAGGTGTTGAGCCCTGTACATGGCAAGACTTGCCTGGTTTAAAAAAGCAGGCGTTACAGATACAGGTGAAGTCTCCCTTCTCTTGTTTGAAAGTTTTTATTCACTTCTATTTATTTGAAAGCCAGAGAGAGAAAAACAGAACTCCCATCCACTGGTTCACTCCCCACATGGCTGCTCTCTAGCAGGGGTTGGGCCAGGCTGAAGCCAGGAGCCGGAGCTCAGTCCCAAGTCTCCTAAGGGGTGGCAGGACCCCAGGTACTTGAGCCGTCACCTGCTGCCAGCCAGGGTGTGAATTAGCAGGAAGTGGAGCCAGGACTCGAACCCACGGGCTCTGCTATAGGAAGCAGGTGTGCCAGTGGTATCTTCGCCACTACACTAAGTGCCTGCCCCCTCTTTCCTCTGAGCCAGTTACTGGCACACATTGTGTACCCTTCCAGAGGGAAATTTGTATATATTCCATGTCTTTTTTTTTTTTTTGGCATTGCATGTCCATGCAGATGTCTGTGTAGATCAGTTTTTTGCGGTTCAGTCAGCATTCACTTTGAAACACATTGGAGTTGCCACAGATAAACCTGGTTCTTTCACCTTAACCACGGTGCGTCTGGGTTCTGTATTTGTGAGCAGCAAGAAGGAGGCCATGCTCATGTCTCCTCCAGGACGGTGATGTCCAGTAGAAATCCATGGCAAGCCACATAAATAAATAATCGGAAAGTTTCTAAGTAGCCACATTTTAAAAAGTAAAAATAGGTAAATTTAATTTTAAGGATATATTTTATTTATTAAAATACAAATATTATCCCAACAGGTAATCAGTATTTAAGAATCAGTGGAATGAAATTCACATCCTCTTTTTCCATCCCAAGTGTGGATTCCATACTTGCAGTGCAAGGGCTGCTTTCCGCATGCTCATTAGCCGCACAGCCCCGGGGCTGCTGGACTGGTCAGCATAACTCTATGGTTTGTAGGTAGTGGTGGCTTAGCTAAGCAGCGGACGGAGGCTGTGCCTGTTTCCAACTGTATTGGTTGCTGACAAATTGCTTTCTGAATAATTGCATGAATTCACACCCCTACACAGTCTGTGGCACAGCGGGTTAAACCACCTCCTGCAGTGCTGGTATCCTGTATGAGCACCTATTCAAGTCCTGGCTGCTCCATTTTCAATGTGGCTTTCTGCTAATCTGCCTGGGAAAGCAGCAGCAGATGGCCCAAGTACTTGGGCCCCAGCCGTCCATATTGGAGACTCACATGGATTTCTGGGCTCCTGGTTTCCACTTGCCCAGCTCTGATTATTGGAGTCATTTGGGAAGTGAACCGGTGGGTGGAAGATCTCTCTGTCTCTCTTTCTCTGTAACTCTGCCTTTAAAATAAAATAAGTATTTTTAAATTAATTTATTTGAAAGGCAGAGTTACAGAGAAGGAGGAAGGGAGAGGCAGAGAGAGAGAGGTCTTCCATCCTCTGGTTCACACCTCAAATGGCCACAATGGCTGGGGCTGGGCTGGTCCAAAGCTAAGCACTTCTTCTGGGTCTCCCACATGGATACAGGGGCTCAAGTACTTGGACCATCTTCCACTGTTTTCCTTGGCTCATTAGCAGGGAGCTGGATCAGAAGTGGAGCAGCCAGGACTCCTGTTGGTGCCCATGTGGGATGCCGGCACCACTGGTGGCAGCTTTACCCACTGTTTACCCACATTCTTGCCAACCTGTGATATCATTAGAATTTTAAATTGTGACCCTTCTGATCATAATGAAAGGGTCCCTCATTGTGATTTTTCATTTGAATTTCTGCCCTTTATTCCCTTAGGAAGAAACGTGTGTACACAGCCCACAAAAGGCTTTCCATATGTGTCTGAGGTTATGAGTGAATGAACCTTGGCTTCTCCTTTTGCAGATGGGGGTGGGGTGGAGGATGGGACCTGCCTTGCCTCCCAGAGTTGGCGCAGCTCTGTGTGGCTGTAAGTCCTGGAAAGCTTAGGGTTAGGTTCTGAGTCATGTGGGCATGTATGGTTAGACATAGGAGCCTTGGCTCCCTGGAGGCTGGAGGAGGTAGGGATGGGGATCTAGAGGCTGAGGGACTATGGAAAGACTGCCCCTTTAAATGCTGTGCCCCACACTCACACAGCATAGGAGCAGGGGACTAAGCAGGCTGCACGTGCCCACCCCAAGTGGGCTCCCCTGGTCCAGGACGTGAAAGGGGTATGAGGTGTTAAGGGCTGGAAGACCTTGCTGATGCTGAAGAAAGCCCCATGTTGTGATGCACTGAATTTCCTGCGTGCCAACAGAGCCTTTGCTTGCCCTGTTCTCCCCACCCCCCTGCCCCCACCGCCAGTACCCCCGTGGTAACCTTATTGGCTGAGCCAGTTTCCATGGCAACTGTCAAGTTCAAAGGGATACTGTAATGTGTTCATCCCTGCCTCTCGCTTCCTTCCCAGCTAGCCCTTTGGAGCTGAGTTGGAGGAACTGAACGATAAGGGAGCTCCAGGAGCTCTGGTTAAGCTTTCATCCATTCATTAATCCGCTCCCTACCCCACTCCCACCCTCCTCTCTCTCCCTTCTCTGCCTCCTCCCTGCAGGCCAGCCAGCTGGGTGTGTACAAAGCGTTTGTGGATAACTATAAAGTCGCTCTGGAGACAGCTGAGAAGTGCAGCCAGTCCAACAACCAGTTCCAGAAGATCTCAGAGGTAGGCAGTGCCCCCCCCCCCAAGGCCAAGCACACACCCGGCACCCCAAGGACACGGGCTCTGGGGGTAGCTGTGCGCCTTCCCCAGCCTTGGGGTCCCTCCTGCCCAGCTTGCCACTCAGAGAAGTGGCTGTCCTGATGGGTGACACCGAGCCTGGCATTTGCTTTCTTGTCCCTGACATTTTCCCTCTTCATATAAGAATATCCATTTGTTTGATTCTTTTAAAAATTCCGTTTCAGGTTAGAGAGGGGAACAGGAGAAGCAATAAATAAAGAGGAGTGGCATTCTCCCCCTTCCCTTCATGTGGTCCTTGGCTCCTATCCTGTAGAATGAAGGGCTTGGACTTGTCAAGCCCCTCTCAGATTTGCTCGATGAAAATCACCCGGATGCTGGTTAACATGGAGTTTTCCAGGCGTCCTCGCAGGAGTGTCTGATTCAGAAAGCCTGGGGTGGGGCCCAAGAGTCTAATTTTTATTCCAGTGTTGTTGCAATAGACACTATGCTACTCCTGTTAGTGTCCGAGGGAGGAATCTATTTTCGTGAGCTCCCAGGCAATTTGCATGATGAGAAGATTGGAGGATGTCAGGCTAGGCAGTCCTGTAAGAGCCTCGCCAACTCTAAGACTCCAACTTTCACCAGTAGAGCAAGGGTCAGAGCCACGTACGTGGATAAAAATCCCTAGACACACCTGTTCAGCCAGTGCCACTAAGCCTTCCCCACGTGCGCTCTGCAGGGCACACGTGTGGTATCACCTGCCATTGGCATTTCTCTCCAGGAAGTGGCATCAAGGGGGTGGTTGCTCCAGGATCCTTGAGGAACACAGCCCAGCTCACTCCTTTAGCAACAGACCTCAGTGACACTCCTAAGCCAGTGGCCCTGCACAAACAGTACCCAGCTGCAGCCCAGGGCACTGAGCCTGCGTTTCTGGGAGGTGGGTGACTTGTGCAGTTTTGGAAGACCCTTGCTCTCAAGGCCCCTCTGGGCCCTTTGCTGTCCTGTGAGCTCTGACACTGGAAAAGCTGGTGAGACATGGGACGGTTTGCATGAAACTACTGGGGTTACATGCGTGCCCCAAGAAGCAGTATGACAGTTGGGCAGATGCAGATGAAAATGTCAGGTGGATTCCTAGTAAAAGCTGTGTTGGAAAATGTGGATTTGGATCTTAGTTAAAGGGATACGTGAATGCCTCCCTGGCAGGAATGGGAGCCACACGGACCCTCCCCACATGGAGGCAGAGCCTGCCCCTCCAACTCCAGGTGTAGAGAGCAGAGGGCTGAGCCCAGTGTCTCCTTCCAAACCATGGACTGGCTGTGTCAGCCCGTGCCTGAGAGGATGGAGCGAGGAGAGGGGAAGTCCTCCCACACAGTCTGCAAAGTGGGTGCTTCCCCTCACGGCTCCAGCCTGTGCCAAGAGCCAGCCGCACACCCCGGGCCTGTGTGCTGAGTCCAGAGTGGCTGTCAGGAGTGGGCACGTGGAGTTGTACGTGGGCCCCTCGTAGACTGGGCTGGCTGCCTGCTCTCTACACATGGGCAAAAACCCCCAGGTCCAAGGAGCCTCCCCATGCCAGAGGGCAGAGTTGGGCCCCTGGCCTTCCGCCAGGTGGCTTCTCATCCTGACTCACTCGGTGACGCTGTCGCTTCCTGCCAGCGCTGCCACTTAATTACTGCAATTAGGCCCTTCTGCAGTATGAGTGACTTCATACCTCTAGGCTGCACTGGAGGGGGGTGTGGAGAAAAATTCCCTAAAGCCAGGAATCCAGGAGCCAGCCAGACACACAGCCTAGAGAAGCTGAGTAACAGCCTGCCCACCAACACACAGCCCGAGCTCAGTCCCTGGGGATTTTCTCTGTCTAGAAATGGCTTGAGACCAGAGTGGGGAGAGTGGTGCCCCTGCTGTCTGGGCCTTCCCTCCCTCCCTCCTTGCCTGTGGGCAGCATCACCTGTGTGCCTGACCTTGACCTCACCTTGCCCCTTGCTTTCCCTGGACACTCCTCTTCAGGGCTCTGCTCAGCCTGCCAAGTACAGATTGCATTACAGCTCCCACTGCAGGCCACGCTGTCCTGGTAGCTCGGGCTGGGCCTGGGCCCACTCCTGCAGGCAGATAGAAGAGGTTTGGACCAGATAAGCCATCCCTGGAGTCTGACCCTTGCTGCCGGGTCGCTTGGCTCGTGGTCCATGAGGGATTCGGCACTACCTCTCCAACAGTGTCCTCCCTGCAGCCCAGCACAGGCACTGGAGGGTGGGGCCGGGGGCCGAGTGAGTCTCTCAACACGGGTGGGAGGTGTTCACCTGCCTGCTTCCCCTGAGGTGTGCAGGACCCCTCCTCTTTAAGTCACGGGTTGCTCGTGCTGCAGGGATCAGCTGGCAGTTGTCCACTCAGGCCCTGTCCACCCTAGGCTGATGTGTACAGATCCCTGGGGGGTTGGTGGGGCACGGGGTCCTGCTCTTGCCACTGCTCCCTGTCTGGAGGGCCCTTGGGGTTGCTGGTGAGGGGCTTCAGGGTTGGGTCTGAAGAATTCCCATTATCGAAGCACTGTCTCTGGCACCTCCAGCCCCCCCCCCCATCTTGGAGCCCGTCCTTCCTACAAGGCTCACGGGGTGGGGGGTGGGGGGGAGACCAGCCAGTGATTCCTCTCCTCCCCTTGGCAGGAACTCAAAGTGAAAGGTCCCAAGGACTCCAAGGACAGCCACACGTCCGTCACCATGGAAGGTACTTGAGGGAATGGGCGGGATGACAGTCACCTTCCTTTGTCTGGCTTTGTGGACTGCAAGCTGTGTGAGCTGGTGCCCTCCCTGCTCGCGTGCGTGTGTGTGTGTGTGTGTGTGCGTGTGTGCACGCGAGGAATCCAGCCTCTTGTCCCCAGGCAGCCGGCCAGCTACAAACGTGCTCCTCTGTAGGATGCCAGCGGGCTGCTCTTCCCTCCTCCCCTCCCCGCCCTCCTCCCTCCTCTCCACGCGCCGCGCCTCCCCTCCCCTCCCCCTTGCCGGAGGAGCACTCAGAAGCGGCTGCCTGATTCTGGAGGTTGTGCAGCAGCCGCCAGCGAGGTGGGCGAGTGGCTGGGCTGCCGAGGGGAGCCGGGGAGCCAGGAGCGATGGCTGCACGCTCCTGCTGCAGGGACACAGGCGGCCATGGAAATCCTCCTCATCATTCGCTTCTGCTGTAACTGCACCTATGGTAACCCTGGTTTCTCCCTGGGAGGTGCTGTGCCCTCCCGCCTCTGGGAGCTGGCAGTGGGGGGCTTCAGTGTGGCTGTCAAGGTTTGGGGGCAGCAGGGGAGAGGGTGGGCAAGTGGCTGCTGCACCTGTGTGCACTCCCATCGTGGCCAGCGCCATCCTGGGGTTGAACATGGGGGGCCACCCCAGGAAGGGTGGCTTTGGAATGGGAAGGACCTTGCGAGGAGGGTCCAGGTCCCCTGAGAGCCCTGGGAGGGGGGTTGGTGGGCCAGCATGGGAGGCACGGAGTAACTTCCTGGAGAGAGAGTAGCAGGCTACACCTGCAGGCATGGTGGCCAGGGGCTGATGGAGAGGGGCAGAGGGTCCGACTGCAGCCCTGGAATGAGAGGCACCTGCCTGGCTGCAGAGAGAAGTTGGGAGTTTCTTTGTTTCAGGAGAGGAGGGGAGGCTGGGCAGCAGGGTATTGTGTGCTGGGAACGCGTGCACGTGCCGCCTCCCCCAGGACAGCAGCCTGGAGAGCAGGGGACCTCCAGGGCTCCAAGGAGGTCTGTGTCTAGGAGGAGAGAGCCTGGAGCCCAGGTCTCTGCACTTAGCTCAGAGGGTGCTCAGTGAAAGGCCGGAGGGAGAGGGGGCGTGGCAGGCTGCTGCTCTGTGAAGGTCACACGCCCACCGTGGGATGGAAAGGGTCGGAGCATCCTGCAGCTGCTGCCGCTGCTGGTCCCGGGACAGGGGGCAAACCGTCCGCTATGCTGGGGGGCCCAGGGGCCACTGACTGCCCTCTAAGGCAAGAAGCGCCTGAGGGGTTGACCCGTGCAGCCTGTGGCAGGGCATGGGGGGCAGGTGTTGCTTCCACACCAGCTGTTCTGGGCCCATATGTGTTGGAGTGGCAGGTGGCTGGTTTTAGGACCTTCCTCTTCCCTCCCACCAGGCGTTTTGTCTCTGCACCCTTCTCTGTCACTTCGCTTTCCTATCTCCGTGGTAACCTGGAGCTCCTTGTCGAAGGCTGAATGGATGGGGATGGGGGAGGTGGCCGTTTGCTGGAGGAGAGGCTGAGGCATCCTGGGTTCTCTCTCGGAGGCTGCTGTGCAGGACCCTCGTCCCCTCCCCTGCTGTCCTGTGTCGAGGCTGGCTCCTGGGACAGCTGCTGGCTGTGTCCCCTGCCCCTTGTGTCTCAGCTTCTGGCCAGCTGGGGTCAAGAGGAGAGCTGGACTTGAAGGTGGCCTGTGCAAGGATCGGAGGGGATGTGCTCTTTCTGGTCTGGCCCAAGAGCTGGTTTATAAGCCTCTGCTCGGCCTCCCTCCGAAGAAGACGGAGCCCTCCCACGGCAGGCCTGGGACCCAGCATTCAGGGCATCTGGTCCCCGAGGTGAAGTCAGCTTCAGAGTGGGGAAGGAGGACTGGACCCGCTGTCGCCCAGGCAGCAAGAGGCCAGCTCACCCGCTCCGGCCAGTCTCTGAGAACGCTTGTACGGTTCACTGAGCTTCTCTGGGGCTTGTCCCTTCCTAAGGAAGAGGACAGTCTCAGTCCAAACCCAACTGCCACTTACAGCTTTGTGGTTGTGATCGAGTTACCTTCTGTCTGCCTCAGTTTCCTCATCTGGAGAATGGGGCCGGTGAGCCCTGCTTCCCTTTGTAACCACCGGGAATAAAGCAGGTAAAGCAGTTAGCCAAGTGCCGTTAGGCGAGCAGCTGGCTCACAGCAACTGGACCGTTAGATGCTGCAGTTGTGGTCTGCAGAGTCCTGGTCAGGGAAGGCTTCCTGGAGGAGGGAGACAGCAGGCACTGCAGCTTGGTGGGAGGTGGGTGCCACAGGAGTCAGGGACCAGGGGAGGGGGCAGGAGTCCCTGGTGAGAGAGTAAGCACCTCTCGGGGAGTTACGAGGGGTAGCAGGGCTGCAGGGGCCGCGGGGAGCATGCTCCCTAGGGCTGGTCTTCCTCCCCCATCTCCTTCCATCGCAGACTGTGGCCCCAGGGCCTCTCCCTGAATTGCTCCCTCCGACCTTTCCTCCCAGCCGAGGCTGAGGCTGTAGGACTACTCCACAGCCCAGGTCAGGGAGACCTGGGCTGTGGAGACTTCAGGCACATTAATAACTCGGAAACCCAGCCTGCTGTTGGTGCAGCCCTCTGAGCTGAGTTAGCACCTCTTTCCCCTGGGACCTCAAGGAGAGCAGGAGCTGGCGGCACGGAGTATGCTCCCCACCCCAACCCCAGCCCTATGCAGGGGTCTGAACAGCTGGTGCTTTCTTTGCAGTCTCTGGGGTCCTCATGCGTTATTTGCCCCTGGAGGTGGGCCAAGCCACAGGCCGGTGCCTGTGCCTTAAACAGCTTCAGAAATGGGTCCCCCATGAGCTGCGTGCTGGGCTCTGCCCACCCTGTCCCAGGACACCTCAAGCCTGGTCTTGCCCATTCTGGCTCCCTTGGCCTGTGGGGAGGGTCGCTAGAACCTGCTGGATGAGACAGGAGTATGGATAGGTTGCGGGAAGTGCGTGTGCAGATGGCAGGGGTTGTCAGTCTGTACTGCCCGGCGTGGTCAGCGAGGGAGTCTGAGCAGGCAGCTGTAACTTGTAAGAGCCCCTGGGGGTACCGACGGGTGGCCAGGCAGACTGCAGCTAGCGCTGGTGGTGCACTGCTGGGAGTGTGTCCTCCTCCTCTCCAGCAGATGGTCCCCCCAGGGGTCTGCTTCGCAGTGCACCGTATTTCTATCTGGGACTTCGGGGGCTCTTTGGTTTGGGAACCAGCTCAGGCCTGAATGTCAGCTCTGGAATCTGGCACAGCCTGGTCCTATGGACACTCAGTTTGGGTCCTCCTTCTCAGAATGGCCTTCTGCCTCTTACGGCTCCTATGGTCAGGGATCAAAGGTCATGACCCCATGGAGGGGCGTGCAGGTGCAGGGCCAAAGCTGAGCTGCCCCAGTTTGGAGGGGCAGGGCACAGCTGCCTGCAGGAGGCATGTTTGGAAAGGTCGACCTGCCAGCTGCTGCCTCCACCTGCTACTGTCCAGTCCCAGCAGTGCTCACTTGGTGTCTGAGCTATGGAGGGGGTGGTATGCAAAGGCCAGGCTGAGCTTGCATTTTTTTCCAGCCTCTTTGGGGCTTCCATATGGGCCTGGATTCCTTCAGGAAATCTTTGCCACCTGCTTGAGAACAAAGCCTTTCCATGGCAGACTGGCCTGCAGCCTGTCCTGTTCTTCCTGGAGCGGGAGAGGGGTTTGCAGGAGTCTTTCTCATGGTGATGAGGCCGGCTATGTGGGTCAGCATGAAGCCTGTTGGTTCCCAGTTGGCTGTGCCAAGCCTTGGGCTGGAGGAGTGAGAATGATAGGGTGTGCAAGAGCTGCTCTCTCTGGACAGGAAGCCTGTCTCCTGCCCATGTTGGGGTCCCCAGTGTGCGGGACTCCTGGGGGTATGTCTGGGTGTACCTGTGGGTCAGACTAGGAGCTTCAGGGGGGCATCTTCTCCGAGCCAGGTCAAACCCTGGGGGCAGCCTTCCAGAGGTCATGGCTGGTGGGCAGTGAGGCAGAGACCAGGTAAGGGGTGGCCTGGGTGGCTTTGGCTGTGTCCGCCTCTTCCTGTTGCTCGGCTGGACCTGGGAGTAGCTGAGTGGGCTTGCCGAATAGCCCACATGGGCTCCTGACAGCCAGGCAGCTCAGGGAGCAAGGCTGGTCTCAGGTCTCAGGCTGCTGGTGTTTGGTTGTCCTGACCCCTTCTCCCTGCCTCCCTCACCAGCTCTGCTCTACAAGCCCATCGACAGAGTCACTCGGAGCACCCTGGTCCTGCACGTGAGTGTCAAGACCCTGAGCGGCCCGGGAGGTATTGGGAGTCCCGTGGAAACCTGAGCTCTGGCTGGAAGGGTGCTGGTGTCCCTGAGAGGGTCCCTGGGCCCCAGCTGCGCCTGCCTGGCCTGCAGTAACCATGCCAACAGGACCAGGGCCTAAATATAGCTCGGCCACTGAGCTTGACATTTGGCCAAATGCTCTTCAGGAGGCAGGCACTTCTGCTTCCCCAGCCCCTGCCTCATGGTCTCCCCTGTCCTTGGAGCAGCTGCGGGGTGGGGGGAGCTGTCTGTCCCAGCTGCTTGGCGAGCAGAGGTGGCCCTTGGCTCGCCAGGAAAGAGTTGTGATGTAGCAGGAGTGAAGGGCCACTGCCTCACCCTCCCTGTGCCCTGACCCTGAGTTTTAGTTCAGATTTTGAAGGTGTGACCAGATTTGAGTGTGGGTCCCTGAGTGCCTGCTCTTCATATTGTTTTGGGAAGGATTGAGTTTACCCCAGTGTCCTCCCATTGAGCCCCTCATCTGCACCCCCAAACACACCACCCCCACATGCAGGTGTTTGGCAGAGCAGTTAAGATACCCCCTGGGATGCCTGCGTCCCATATCAGAGCCCCTGGGTTTGAGTCGCAGCTGTGCTTCCTGTTAATGCGCACCCTGGGAGGCAGCACGTGATGGCTCAAGTATTCGGGTCCTCGCCACCCACATGGGAGACCTGGCTGGAGTTCCTGTCTCCTGGCTTCAGCGCGTCCTAGTTCTGGCTGTTACAGGCATCTAGGAAGTGAACCAGCAGATAGAAGATACTCATTCACTTTCTGCCTTTTTAATTAATTAATTAAAGCTACATAATTAAATATAGCACCAACACGCCACCCTCACCCCTGCCCAGGACTTGCTGAAGCACACGCCTGTGGACCACCCAGACTACCCGCTGTTGCAGGATGCCCTCCGCATCTCCCAGAACTTCCTGTCTAGCATCAACGAGGACATCGACCCCCGTCGGACTGCAGTCACGACCCCCAAGGGGGAGGTGAGCTCGGGACCCAGCACAGCCTGGCCCCAGGGGGGGCTGATCTGACCCCTGTCCCTGTTGTCCCTCAAGCGTGGGCACTGCTGCTGAGAGCCCTGCTCACCAGGGCTGAGCTTAAAGGCCAGCCTCTCGTTCATCGTCGTCATAGTCCGGGGAGGCAGAAGAGGAAGCTGAGGCTTGGAGCATCCCCTGCAGGTCCGGTACAAGGTCTCAGCCATAAGTGTCGGACTGGATTCTGTCCCTGGGACTTTCTGGCGATAAGCCCCATGCACTGTTCCCCACACCCGGGGAAGTCGGGCCTCTGGGTTCCTCATTAATGAGTGCAAGCCCCTGTCTCTGCGAGGCTGAGAGAGTGGGACTGGGAGTTGCTTCTGATCGGCCTGTGTAGGAGCTAGGTCGTGAGCTGGGGAGCAGCAGAGGCTGGTGGCAGAGGTGGCGGAGGCCACCCCTGCTGCTGCCGTGTCCCCTGTGGGCACCTCAGGCTGCTACAGCAGCTCCCGGGGGGCTCCTTCTTGGTGGAAGGATGGGGAGCAGCCCAGTGAGAGGACACACTGGAGGGACAGTTGCCCTCCTGGGTCAGTAGGCTGGCCTAGATTCCTTGCTTCCTGCCCAAGAAAGGCGGTTAAGCGGCCCCAGGAAGGGAAGGCTGGATGCAGTTAACGCTCTGCTGCTGCATTTATGAGCCTCTGGTGTCTCCTGCAGAGGGAAGGAACCAGGGACAGGGTGCCGGGCGTGACTGGTGGGCCGTGGTGAGCCAGTCCGCGGTGCCATTCCTAGCCCTGGTCTGCTGCACTTCGGGGTGATGTCACTGGTTCATTTCACTGCAAGAATGGCTGGAAAATCTCCAGAGGCTTGGAGCACCATCAGCTTCAGGTCATCTTAATCGTGTGCACTCATCGGTTCACCTACATATCGCAGCATATGTAGGTCACACGGTATACGGCGCTCTTGGAGAAGGCTGGGACAGATGGCGGCAGCCCCAGAGAGGCCTGCTGGCTCTGAGGGTGGGGGGAGGAGACTGCGACGTCTCACGAGGAGTAGGATGCTCTTGGCTGAGCAGAGCCCAGGATAAAGGCAGCTGCAGGTACCCCGGGGACACTGCTGCAGCCGCACTGAGGCTAGCCTCAGGGTCTCTCAGGACACTGCTGCAGCCATACTCAGGCCAGCCCGAGGGTGTCACTTCGTGGGGAAGTCCCAACCACCGAGAAGCAGCATCAGCGGGACCGAGCGGCTCTGCAGGTGCAGGCTGAGCTGAAGCTGGATGCTCAGTTACAAAGAGTTTTGAAGGTGGAGGGTGTTCACACTGCAGCGGGGAGAAACGAGTCATGCTGGGCCAAGGTCCTGGCGGGCAGGAGCTGATGAAAGCTGTGGAAAGTGGTTCTGTTGTGGCACGTGACGTGCTGGCTCTGACACACACCGCCCCCGTGAGCCCTGCCTCGAGGCAGACTGTCGTTCTGTCCCCTTTAAAGATGCCCCATCTGCGATCTCAGCTAAAAAGCGCAGTGTCTGGATTCACACCAAAGCCAGTGCTCTTAACTGTGGGCCACAAGCCCCTCGCCTCAGCCCTCCCCAGCCGGACGGTGCCCCGGTGCAGCCTGCACTGAGCCAGCTGCCGGGGGTGGCTTGTGCCTTCTCCCTCAGACCCGGCAGCTGGTGAAGGACGGCTTCCTGGTGGAGGTGTCAGAGAGCTCGCGGAAGCTGCGGCACGTCTTCCTCTTCACTGATGTCCTACTGTGTGCCAAGCTGAAGAAGACCTCCGCAGGGTGAGTGCGTGGGGGTCCCGGGTCGCGGCAGGGGAACCGGGTGCTGCCCAGGGGGAGCCCTTGGCCCTGAGGGTGCTCTGTGTTCTTGCCTAAAACGTTAATGAATCGTGTTGTGCTGCATAGCCACTTTCTAACAATAATCACGTGATTATTTATAAAGATAATATAAGGACATTTATATTATTATAAAGATAATATAAGGACACCCACCCACCCGAACACAGGCACAGGTCCCTTGCCACTGGGTTTCCTTCCCGTGTTTAAAAGATGTTGGGGTTTTTTTTTTATACGGTCGTAATCAGAGTGAATGCCCAATTTTGGACTGTGCCTTTTCTTTTTCACGTCATAAGCATTTTCCCTGTGGCTGCCCAATCTTCATAATCATCGTTTTTGCTTTCCTGCATGATGTTAGAAGTGGCTATGCCATCATTTACTTAAGCCTTGCCTTTTATTAGACTCCTCTAAATTTTTGCTCAGTGTGATTCTGTGAATATTCATTAAATCTGCTACCATTTATCCAGGGCTTATGCCATGCCAGGTGCCATGACAAACGCTTTGAATACATTGTTGCTAATCTCCCCAGCAGCTCCACAAAGTGGTTATTATTATCCGCCTCTCCCAGATGGGAGCAAAGCCTGAGAGAAGGTAAATTGGTGGCTCAAGGTCACACAGCTGGCAGTGGAGATGGGACTTGAACCCTGATCCAGGGTGAACGCCTTCCTGCCTCTGTCTCTGGTTCCAGGGAGGTGGGCCCACTGCATGCTGTGAGGTTATTCCTGCTCAGGCGTGCATGGCTCTGCCGAGACACTCCCGGTACAGGAGGAGAGGGGCTGAGCGCTCACCGCACCACTCAGGGGCTGGAGTAAGAGGTCTGAGTCCTGGGGAAACTCAGAGATTCTATAAAGGGTGTGACTCCCTGGAGGGAGACCTCGTTTGATATCTTTTTTTTTTTTTTTTTTTTTTTACTTTCAGAGTGGACAGTGAGAGAGAGAGACAGAGAGAAAGGTCTTCCTTTGCCATTGGCTCACCCTCCAATGGCCGCCGTGGCCGGCACACCGTGCTGATCCGATGGCAGGAGCCAGGTGCTTCTCCTGGTCTCCCATGGGGTGCAGGGCCCAAGGACTTGGGCCATCCTCCAGTGTACTCCCGGGCACAGCAGAGAGCTGGCCTGGAAAAGAGGCAACAGGGACAGAATCCGGCGCCCCGACCGGGACTAGAACCTGGTGTGCCGGCGCCGCTAGGCGGAGGATTAGCCTGTTGAGCCACGGCACCGGCCCTCGTTTGATATCATTTTAAGCAAAGATGCCAATAACAAGCCTACACAGCTCTGCCTTCAGTCCTTTGCCCATGGCAGACATTACTAATCAACCATGGCATTCTTTCCCACTAGGTTTGGACGTGGCTTTGTTGTCCTTAATCCAGTACCCTGTATGGTCTCTGTCGATCAGGGTTGGTGTTCAGAATAGCATCTGTTTTCCATCCCTGGCCTGATGGTTAATGAATGTGAGCTAAGCTGGGGGAAGGACAGGGCCAGGAAATAGGAAGTGTGAGCCCACTGTGCCCTCCTTGAGAAGCACATGGTTTGGATATCCAAAGACATCAGTCATCGTGGGCCAGAAGCCGGCAAGGTGCAGGAGCAGGGTGCTTCTGTCTCCGAGTGTGTCTGGATCAGGTTGCTCAAGCACGGGGGCCATTGTTGCCTTGGCTGCCTTCTCCGTGGCTCCCATTACAGGTCTTGCAGTTCGGGCACCAAGAGCCCGTCCCCACCCCAAGCCCCAGCTCACATGTGCCTGTCGCTTGCAGGAAGCACCAGCAGTATGACTGCAAGTGGTACATCCCCCTGGCCGACTTGGTGTTTCCATCCCCCGAGGAGTCTGAGGCCAGCCCCCAGGTGCATCCCTTCCCCGACCACGAGCTGGAGGACATGAAGATGAAGATCTCTGCCCTCAAGAGTGAGATCCAGAAGGAGGTGAGGAGAGCCTGGCCGCTGAGCTGGGGTGCTAGGGACCGGGAGGGGCGGACAGGCCAGGGAAGCTGTGAGATTTCAGAGCCTGATTGGGACACGGTTATGCAGGAGTGGGAGCTCTGCAGTGTGGATGTGTTAAGGGCCACCCCTGACCTTGGCACATTAGCTCTGAATAAATAGAAGCTAGCAGAATTAGAGAGAGGAGAGACACACACAGAAACAGAGAGAGGTATTCTATCCACTGGTTCACATCCCAAATGGCTGCAACAACTGGGGCTGGACCAGCCTGAAGCCAAGAGCCAGAAGCTTCATCAGGGTTTCCCATATGGGTATCAGGGGCCCAAGGGCTGGGGCCATCCTCCGCAGTTTTCCCAGGTGCGTTAGCAAGGCACTGGTTCAGAAGTGGAGAAGCCAGGACTTGAACCAGCATCATATGGGATGCTGGCATTGCAGGCAGCGGCTTAACCCTCTGTACCACAATGCCAGGCCCCAGTGTGCTCTGAATTTAGTGGGCTTAATTATGGAGAGTTCCCTGGAGAAGAGTATATGTTGAAAATTGTCTAAGAGGGAAAGAGTGTCTAAAAGGGGAAAGGTCGTTGTCGTCTTTTTTTTTTTTTTTTTTTTTTTGATGATTGTTTACTTACCTGAGAGGCAGAGTTACAGAGAGAAATCTTCCATCTGCTGCAATGGCCAGGGCTGGGCCAGGCAGAAGTCAGGAACCAGGAACTCCATCTGGGTCTCCCATGTGGGCATCAGGGGCCGTCTTCTGCTACTTTCCTAGATGTGTTAGCAGGGAACTGGATCAGAAGTAGAGCTGGGCTGGCGCCGCGGCTCACTAGGCTAATCCTCCGCCTAGCGGCGCCGGCACACCGGGTTCTAGTCCCGGTTGGGGCGCTGGATTCTGTCCCTGTTGCCCCTCTTCCAGGCCAGCTCTCTGCTGTGGCCCGGGAGTGCAGTGGAGGATGGCCCAGGTGCTTGGGCCCTGCACCCCATGGGAGACCAGGAGAAGCACCTGGCTCATGCCTTCTTCGGATCAGTGCGGTGCGCGGGCCGTAGTGCGCTGGCCGCGGCGGCCGTTGGAAGGTAAACCAACTGCAAAGGAAGACCTTTCTCTCTGTCTCTCTCTCTCCCGGTCCACTCTGCCTGTCAAAAAAAAAAAAAAAAAAGAAAGAAAGAAAGAAAAAAGCAGAGCAGCCAGGACTTGAACCAGCGCTGCAAATGGCAGCTCAATGCACTGTGCCACAACGCCGGCCCAGGAAAAGGCCTTCATAAGGCAGAGCTCAGCGTGTGTGAGAGAAAGGCCTGAGCAGCGTCACAGACGAGGTAGCAAATAGATGAGAAAATACCACAGCGAACTCACTTGCTCTAAACATGCCCAGAGCCTCTGCCTGGAGCTGGCTGAGATGCTCAGCGCACCCAGAACGCTCACGGATATTTATCCTACTTTAGGCCGCAGAGGAAATCCCAATTTAATAGATCACAGTGCAGTAAAATTAGAAATCAACAAGTGAACATGAGTTAATTATATGCCTGGAAAGTTACAACTTTCAAGTTAGAGGATGTCGAAATGACAATTACACACTACTTACTACAGCACACACACACACACACACGAATGCCTGGGGGCAGGCGTTTGGCCTAGCAGGTAGGCCGTCCTCGTCCTAGGTGGGAATGTCGGCTTCAAGTCCTAGCTCTGCCCCCACCCCCAGTTTCCCACTAATGCAGACCTTGGGGGGCAGCAGCGATGGCTCACGTTCTGGGCTCCTGTCACTCACATAGGAGGCCACTGCTGCCGACATTTGAGGAGTGATCCGGTAGATATGTGTCAGTCTGACTGTTTGCCTCTCAAATAAATAAAATTTTAAAAAGCTGGGGGGAGGGGCATTTTGGCACAGCAGGCCAAGCCACTGCTTACAAAGCCGGCATCCCGTACCTAAGTGCCAAGTCCTGACTGCTCTGCTTGCCAGTCCAGCTTCCTGTCCAGGTACCTGAGCCCCTGCCACCTGTGTGGGAGACCAGGACAGAGTTCCTGGCTCCTGCTTTCTGCCTGGCCCAAGCTGTGGTGGCCATTTGGAGTGTGAACCAGTAGATGGAAGACCTGCTCACTCGCTCTCCTCCCACCGCCCCGTTTTTGCTGTATCTCTCATTCTCCCTTCAGACAGATAAATTAACAAAGAAAATGTTGTCAAATGAAAGTATTGCACATCAAAAGCTATAGGACGCAGCCAAAGCTCTGTTAAAGGAGAGTGTATAGCCTTGACTTCATAGATTCACCGCCAGTGGCTGGAACAGAGCAGCCCAGGAGGAGAGGCCTTCCCAATGACTGCACAGGAGGCACGGCGTGGTTCATCTGGCCTGGGCATCCTTCCTCCCCCGCCCCGGCCTCCCTGCAAAAGCCTCTCACCTCTGGGTGTGGTGCCCGCTGCCAGTTCCTGGTGTTCACCTCCGGCTTTGCTTGAATGGTCCCCGCTGCACGTGTGTGCTCGGCTTTTTCACTTCCCCTTTAGGGTCTGGACTCGAGTGTGAGCCTGTAGCTTTCTTCTCGTCCGTGCTCCTGACACTTAGCGTGTGATACAGAGCTGCTTAGCAAATTGCTACAACCAGATAGCCCCTAAGAACCCTTTCAGCTGAACAGGGGGGGCGTCTTTAAGGCCGAGGGTCTGCTTGGGGGCGCTTCCTGACCGGCACAGGTGACCTCCTGGGCGGCCAGGCCCTGCCTGCCTCACTGGAGGTGAAGAGGTCCTGGGACTGGCAGGCTGTGTGCCCGCCCTTCAGCGCTGGGTGTGCAGGCCGAGCCCCGCGGTGGCTGCAGGCCTGTGCAGGACAGCCCCCCCCCCCCCCCTGCCCTGCCCCAAGTGCTCGCGCAGTGGAGAAGGTAGGCAGGCCCGGCACTGGCCACAGACGAGCTCAGGAGCAGATTAAGGGATCTTAAGAGATTTGTCCTTTTAAAGATAAATTTTTAAAACTTTACATTCTTCCTTAATCATCAGTGTAATGCAGGTTTGTTGCAGCAAGAGATGTGCACAGTGCCCAAGTATGAGCAGCCAGCATGCCCTGCCCATTGCTAACAGTCTGCAGTGTGTTCTGCACTCTTCTGTACGTTTTCTGTGGGGGGTGTGTGTGTGTGTGTGTACAAGGGTGCTTCAAAAACTTCATGAAAAATGCGTATGATGAGAAAACTATGCATGGATTTCAAGTCTTTTGCATCAAAATGTACCTTTTTCTAAAAATGATTTTTAAAAATTTACTTTAAAGGCAGAGTTAGAAAGAGGAGGGAGAGATAGAGAGAGAGAGAGAGAGAGAGAAGAAGAGAGGAGAGGAGAGGAGAGGAGAGGAGAGGAGAGGAGAGGAGAGGAGAGGAGAGGTCTTGTCTTCCATCTGCTAGTTCACTCCCTGAATGGCTGCAATGGGCAGGGCTGGGCCATATCACAGGCAGGAGCCTGGAACTCCTTCCAGGTCTCCCATGTGGGAAGGCCAAGCTCTTAGGCCGTCTTTCACTGCCTTCTCAGGTGCATTAGCAGAATCAAAAGCAGAGGGGCCGGCGCTGTGGCAGAGCGAGTTAAGCTACTGCCTGCAGCACCAGCATCTCATAGGTGCTGGTTTGAGTCCTGGCTGCTCTACTTCTGATCCAGACCCTGCTGATGTGCCTGGGAAAGCAACACAAAATGCCCCAGGTCCTTGGACCCATGCACCCATGTGGGAGACCCAGAAGAAGCTCCTGGCTCCTGGCTTTGGCCTGGCCCAGCCTCGGCCATTGCAGACATTTGGGGACTGAACCAGTGGATGGAAGACCTCTCTCTCTCTCTCTCTCTCTCTAACTCTACCTTTCAAAATAAATATTAAAAAAAAAAAAAAGAATTTGAAGCAGAGCAGCGATGATTTGAACCAGAGCCCATGCGGGATACAGGGCATTGCAGGCAACAGCTTAACCCTCTGTGCTATAACACTGGCCCCGAATTTATCTTTTTTTAAATATTTATTTTATTTGAAAGTCATACTTAAAGAGAGAGAGGTCTTCCATCTGCTGGTTCACTCCCCAAATGGCTGCAGTGGCTGGAGCTGAGCCGATCCGAAGCCAGGAGCCAGGAGCTGCTTCCAGGTCTCCCATGTGCATGCAGGGATCCAAGTGCTTGGGCCATCTGCTGCTGCTTTCCCAGGCACATTAGCAGGGAGCTGGATCAGAAGTGGAGCAGCCTGGACTTGAACCGGTGCCCATATGGGATGCCAGTGTTGCAGGCCAGGGCTTTAACCCACTGCCCCCCACAGCACCGGCCCCTAAATGTATCCTTTAATCCCATTTTCTCAGGGACTTTCTTGCCTGTGACTGGGACTAGACTACATGTGCTGCTTAGTAACTCAGCTTTTCACTCCACAGCTGCCTCAGCCTGCTTTGGATCCATGATTCAATCTTTCTTTCTTTCTTTTTTTTTTTTTTTTTTTGACAGGCAGAGTTGGATAGTGAGAGAGAGAGACAGAGAGAAAGGTCTTCCTTCTGTTGGTTCACCCCCCAAATGGCTGCTATGGCCAGCACATTGCGCTGATCTGAAGCCAGGAGCCAGGTGCTTCTCCTGGTCTCCCACGTGGGTGCAGGTCCCAAGGACTTGGGCCATCCCCCACTGCCCTCCCAGGCCACAGCAGAGAGCTGGCCTGGAAGAGGAGCAACCGGGACAGAATCCGGCACCCCAACTGGGTCTAGAACCCGGGGTGCCGGCACCACAGGCGGAGGATTAGCCTAGTGAGCCGCGGCGCCGGCCCATGATTCTTTCTAACAGCTGCCTCCCGTCTGGTGCTTGCCTGCACAGAGTGTCCCTGGATACTCACGGTGTTGTTTCTGATTCTCCACTCTTTTTTTTTTTTTTTTTTTAAGATTTATTTATTTATTTGAAAGTCAGAGTTACACAAAGAGAAGGAGAGGCAGAAAGAGAGAGAGAGGTCTTCCATCTGCTGGTTCACTCCCCAGTTGGCTGCAACGGCTAGAGCTGTGCTGATCCAAACCCAGGAGCTTCTGGGTCTCCCCCGCAGGTGCAGGGGCCCAAGCATTTGAGCCATCTTCTACTGCTTTCCCAGGCCATAGCAGAGAGCGGGATCGGAAGTAGAGCAACTGGGACTTGAACCAGTGCCTGTATGGGATGCTGGCACTGTAGGCAGCAGCTTTACCTACTACACCACAGCACCAGCCCCCTGATTCTCCACTGTTACAAGACACCTCTGCAGTAAACGCTGGGCTGCAAGGGGCGTGGCTGGGCCCAAGTTCCAGTGCCTTTAATCACCTGTGTCTGGTTTGTCCGCACCCCCAGCAGGGTAGAGTCCCTAGCCCCCCTCCCCCTCACAGCACTGGCGTTGAGGCTGTGGGTAGTTAATACTTTGCCCATCTAATGGGATTGAAAAAAAAAAAAACAGCATGAGAAATGAGCTGTAATTGAAGAGCTGGAAGCTGGTGTTGGAGCTGAGCACCGTAGCAGTTAGTAAAAGGGAGGAGCCCTTTATAAAATGCATTTACCTTGGAAAACTGGAGGGGGCGCCGGGGCACAGAGCCCTGTGCTGACGGGTGTCAGAGGTCTCTGGCGCCAGGGTCTCTGATGCAGTGCGGAGCCCAGGACCCCAGCAAGACCTTCTTGTCTCAGTTTCAAAAGAAGGGGCTCAGCAGGAAGCACGGGGGCTGGTCAGGAGGCAGAAGGAGGGAGGAGGCGTGACCCCCTGCCTTTTTTGGGTTTCTGTGGGAGAAGTGAGGCAGGGCAGGGGAATGGCTACTTTGAAGAGAGTGGGTGGCCCCTGGGCTACCCGACAGCTGCGGTTGCCTGGTCCCTGCCCCTGTGAGTTGGAACAGAGCGGAGGTGCCTTGGCGGGTGAGTGTTAGATGAAGCAGGTGGTTGGGGGTTGGGCATCGGGTTGGTGGGTTTGCGGGGTGTGCTCCCAGGGGGCCCCTCGGGGTCTGGTGACTTAGCCACCCCGGGGGTGAGCGGTTCTGCTGATTCAGGCCAGGAAATACGGACAGTAAGAAGCATGGTTGCTACGCAGGGGGATGTGGTGCTTAGAGCTGCTGAGTGGGGGGACCGTCTGTGCCTCGCCCCTGCAGAAAGCCAACAAGGGACAGAGCCGGGCCATCGAGCGCCTCAAAAAGAAGATGTTTGAGAACGAGTTCCTGCTGCTGCTCAACTCCCCCACAATCCCGTTTCGGATCCACAATCGGAATGGAAAGGTCAGCTGGGGCTGCCCGCTCCCTGTAGCTCCTGGCCCTGAGTGGTGGCAACTCTGGCCCCAGTGCCCCAGACAGGCTGCCACAGCTCCAGCCCTTGACTCTTCTCCCCACAAGGAGTCCTCTCCATCTTCTGGCTACCTCCTTCTCTGAGCCCAAGGGTGCCTGGGTGAAAGCAGCTTTGTTGGGGACCCTAGAATCCGAGAATGTACTGGGTCTGGCGCTGGCCACCCCACTTAGTGCTCCTCTCCTCTCTCTCTAGAGCTACCTGTTCCTGCTATCCTCCGACTATGAGAGGTCAGAGTGGCGAGAAGCAATTCAGAAACTACAGAAGAAAGGTGAGGTCCTGCCCTGCTCCGATGGCGGCCGTGGCCACAGGAGCCTTCTGTGTTCCAAGCACTTCCCGCCCGTTAGCTCCTGTTTAACCCTCAGCTGCACCCTGGGAGGTGCCAGGGAGCTGGCTCTTAGCTGATGTTTCAGATCTACTGAGGCCCCAAGAACTGAAGTGGTTTGCCCCAGGGACTTGTGAATTAGGGATGGGTGTGGACCCACAGCCCTCCTGCTGTCTCTCACACACGTGCCTGAGCCTCCTCAACAGAAGAGCCTTCTACTCTTTTTTTAAATAAAGATTTATTTAGTTATTTGAGAGGCAGAGTTACAGAAAGAAAGGGAGAGCTCGATGTTCCATCCACTGGTTCACTCCCCCTGATGGCCACACAGCCAGGGATGGGCCAGGCCAAAGCCAGGAGCTTTCTCTGGGTCTGCCACGTGGCTACAGGGGCCCAAGCACTTGAGCCACTCTCTGCTGCTCTCCCAGGTGCATTAGCAGAGGGCTGGATCCCAGGTGCAGCAGCCGGGACTCGAACCAGTGCCCAGCACTGGAGGTGGGTTTACCCGCCTTGCCACAACGCCGGCCCCCAGGTTCTCCTACTCTGAACCCTCTGACAGCACGCACAGCTGTGCCCAGGTGGATGCCTGCAAGCCTTCCACACGCCACCAAGGACTAACTCTGCCCCTAGAACAAGACCACCTCCCGGCAGCTGCCCTGGGCAGAGCTGCAGTCCCCATGGACCTGTGCCAATGCCCCCTCCTCTCGCTCCTCCTACAGATCTCCAGGCCTTTGTCCTGAGCTCAGTGGAGCTCCAGGTGCTCACAGGATCCTGTTTCAAGCTTAGGACTGTACACAACATTCCTGTCACCAGCAATAAAGATGGTAAGATCTAGAGCCTGAGTTGCCCAGCCAGCAGTTTCAACCCCCAGGGAATGGCTGGAGCCTTCTGGAGGGACCCAGCCAGCCTCGGAGCTGCAGATGGATCCTGGGCTGCACTGGGCTGGGCCTGCTGGGTTCCTGCCTATTGAGCTCTTTGATGGTGCCCTCTGGCTTGAGAGGAGAGTTGGGGGCCCTTATGCTCTGGGACCATGTTGTTAATATGTTCAGGAAGTAGCTGGAAGAAAGGAGCAGAAGGCTAAAGCATGGGACATGGGGGCGGGGAGGGTAGAAGATGCACGGTAATGCTAGGGCCCAGCTCCTGGAAGGCCCTGAGTGCCGAGCAAGCAAGGCGCCTGTGGGAGGGCTCTGGGCAGAGAGAGCTGCCTTCAGAGTGGCGCCGGGTGGCTGGGTGCTGGCCGCCTCTGATGTTGGCACGGAGCCTGCTCTCTGGAAGGCACTTGGAGAGCCAGCTTCCCTCGGAGTATCAGGGTCAGCTGGGGTCTCCGGCAGGGGGCAGGGCTGAGCTCGCTCTCTTCCATTAGCAGTGACCTCGCTTTAGTCCATTTCGACTTTGAAGGTTAGGTGGGGGAGGGTAGCCATGGGGTTGGCAGGGCCCACAGGGAGGGAAGGCAGCCCTGGGGAATGGTACCAAACCCCTGGCCAGGTCTGGAGATGGGATCTGGCTTCCCAAGCCCAGCCGGAAAGGGAAGGGCCCCAGCATTACTGGGGAGCTCACAGCACAGGAGCCGAGGGCTTGGGAAACGTCTCCTGCAGGCCACCAGGTGGTGCTGTGGGCCCAAGGCGCAGGTCTGATCTGGGAGGGGACAAGCCTCTCACCGCCCCTCCCTGGGCACTCCTCTCTTGCAGACGACGAGTCTCCAGGGCTCTATGGCTTCCTCCACGTCATCGTCCACTCGGCCAAGGGGTTTAAACAATCAGCCAGTAAGTGTCCCTGACCCTAGCTAGCCACTGTTCGGCCTTTCACGGAAAGTCCCTCTGGAACCATCGTGTGGGACCTCCCGCTGGTACCCCTGCTCTGCCCCTGTCTGCTCAGGCAGGCCCTGCATGCACACCTTGAGTGGGGCGTTGCCCGAAAGGCCAGCAGCCGGCTCCTCCTGGGTGGGGGAGCACTCCTGCCCTTGGTCCCCAGGGCCTGCTCTCCCCTAAGTCCTCCCTCCAGGTGTGTGAAATCCTGGACTCCAGCCCAGCTCTGCCGATCACAGACTGTGACCTTGGGCAAGCTTCGTAACCTCTCTGCTTCCTTCTCCATGAAAGGCCTCACACTGGTTAATACAGCCGAGAGTGGGCTTCAGCCCGCCCGGGACATGGATGCTGCACCCGCGTTCCTCTCTCGTCCCTCCCTACGTCTCTAGGTCACCAGCCCTGTGGATTGTTGTCCTCCGATGACTGAATGTGTTTAGCATTTCACAGAATACAGCCACACTGTTTATCTGCATAGGAATTTCTTTTTTGAGGATTTGTTTGTTTATTTGAAAGGCAGAATGACAGAGATCTTCCATCCACTGGTTCACTCTCAAATGGCTGTAACAGGCCGGCGCCGCGGCTCACTAGGCTAATCCTCCGCCTTGCGGCACCGGCACCCCGGGTTCTAGTCCAGGTTGGGGAGCCGGGTTCTAGTCCTGGTTGCTCCTCTTCGGTCCAGCTGTCTGCTGTGGCCCAGGAGTGCAGTGGAGGATGGCCCAAGTGCTTGGGCCCTGCACCCACATGGGAGACCAGGAGGAAGCGCCTGGCTCCTGGCTTCAGATCGGCACAGCACACCGGCCATAGCAGTCATTTGGGGGGTGAACCAACAGAAGGAAGACCTTTCTCTCTGTCTCTCTCACTAACTCTGCCTGTCAAAAAAAAAAAAAAAAAAAAAAAAAAAAATCAAATGGCTGTAACGGCCAGGTCTGGGTCAGGCTGAAATCAGGAGACAGGAGCTTCTTCATCTTGGTCTCCCACGTGGGTGTCAGGGGCCTCAAGTACTTGGTCATCTGCTGCCTTCCCACCCACATTAGCAGAAGGCTGGATAGGAAGTAGAGCAGCTGGGATTTGAACCAGCACTGAGATCGAATGCCGGCCACACAAGCGGCGGCTCAACTCACTGTGCCACAGCACCGTCCCCTCTCTGCATAGGAACTGCTGAGTCGTTTCTACCCATTTGCCAGATGAACATACCAAACTATGTCAGGAGAGGGGAAAGGTCTGAACACAACACAGGATCAGGGCCCCAGAGCCCCCAGCCCTGCCAGCTGCATCCCACATGGAGCTTCTGTTACCGCAAAGCCTCCCGCAATGCCGGGGTGAAGAGGTGTCCCCTCGCTGTGTTGCTGTCACAGTAGGGCGAGCCATGGTCCCTGCACCTGTCACCTGGCTTCGTCCCTCATCATCGGCCTCTCCCGCTGTGGGCACTCTGAGGACAGGAGCCAGGTCCCCTCTATCCTCAGATGGAAGGGAGCTCAGGGGCCGGAGTGAGTCGTCGGTTTACAGAGCGCCCACTGGGCATCTGGGGAAAACGAGGAGGCAGCAGGCCAGTGGGCAGCGCCGCGGCACGCTCCAAGCCTGTTCCCATCCCTCTGGCCCCTCTCCGGGGTCACCAGACTCATTCCTATTCCACATGCAGGGAAGCCAAGGCCCAGGGGGCTCCAGCAACGTGGCAGGGCACGAGAATCCATGCCTTCCAACTCCAAAGCCCGGTGCTTCCGCTTTGAGCCACTCTGGAAGTCTGGCCAGGACCCCTCTGCTCTCAGCACTCAGCCTGCCTGTTAACAAGGTGGCTTCCCGGCCCCTCCCCCGACCCACAGCACGACGTGCTGGGGACAGCTGGCCCAGTCGTCCTGGCTCCCAGCTCTGTGCTGCTGCTGTGCACGCCTGTGTCTGCGTGCTGCACAGCTCAATCAGGTGCCTCCCACCTCCACGCTGCCTGCCCCCCCACTTCCTGTTGGCTGGATGGGGGGGCTCCTCGAGGAGCAGGTGTCCACCTCCTGGACTGGGTCAGGCGGTAGGCGGCTGGGGGAGCTACGGGAAAGCTTCTCCCTCCCTCGGGGTTGTGTCCACCTCCCCCGCCCCAGCCCCTGCCCTGCTCAGTTGCTCCTGCTGGCCTGGGGTGGAACCTGTCGAATCCTCACCCATGGCTTCTTGTCCTTGTAATCTTGGTCTAGCCTCACTTGGGCTTAGGTGGGGGCTCACCGTCACTGCCCCGTCTTCGGGACCACAGCCCCAAGGGGAGAAGTTAGGCTATTTGTAGAGAATGAGGATTTGAACCCAAAAGTCTGATGCTACGGCCCTCACCTTGACCCTGTGAGTGATCTCCCTGCCTCTGACAGAAGGGTCACCCCCGCCACAATCAGTGACACTGGCACGTCCTGCCCCCCACCCCGTCCAGCCACACAGCCTGTCCCCGATCATCTGCACCCACATTCCAGCATGTTCTGATTCCCATTTACATCTACTTCGGGTTGCACCCAGCCAGAGACTTCTCGGCGGCAACTCCCCACCCCCTTGCTCCTGTGGTGGGTGACTCCTGGCGTCCACCAAACTGCACACCCACCCTCTGACCTCTGCCCCTTGTCACCTTCATTCCTGTCACAGAGGGTGGGCCGTGGTGCCTCAACCACACCCCTGCACCAGCACCCTGATGGGCAGCAGGGTCTGAGCCCTGGAGGGAGCGTGTGGATTTACAGAGTGGCTCCCAGCCCTGTGTCGCCGGGTGGAGAGGAAGGGATTTCAGCCTGGAGGCCTGGGATGGAGAGGGGAACCCCAGGGACCCCGCCAGCCCCTACCAGTCCATTATGTGGAGTGCCGGACGGTGGTGAGAGCGTCCACTCAGCTCCCAGAGAGTCACTGCACCTGCTGTGGGCCCAGCCCCTCTCTAAGTACCAGGGGATGCACTTGGGAGTAAGAAAGCCCGTGGTGTCTGCCCACAATGGTGTTTGCTGTGGACGAAGAGACACAGCAAGGGCCCAGAGAGCAGAGACCACTTCAGTTCAAGTTGAAGGAAACTGCCCAGACTTGGGCTGGTGCGTGGCCCAGTGCCCTGCAGTGACGCAGCCTCACCACTACTGGGAAACCATGGGAACCGGAGGTCACTCCTTCAGCCCGTGTGGTCGGGAAAGGCCTTGACCATGTGGCAATAGCAGGCAGTGAGGGCAGCGGCCCTAAGGGAGCAGCTTGGCACGTGGAGGGCCACGGGGCCAGCCTGGCTGGGGTGCGATGGGGAGAGTGGAGAAGTCGGAGGTACCCAAAGGTGTGGGCCCTCAGGGAGCAGAACACCAAAGTGCCCCCCTGTGCATTGCCCCCAACTTTCCCCCGGGCCTCTGTCTCGAGCCTCACTCTGCTTGTCTGTCTCCTCCTGCAGACCTGTACTGTACACTGGAGGTGGATTCCTTTGGCTATTTTGTCAGCAAAGCCAAAACCAGGGTGTTCCGGGACACGACAGAGCCCAAGTGGGACGAGGTGAGTGGTCTGTCGGGGAGCATGCCCGCCCGACCGCCTGTCCAGGCCCCGTCTGCCAGGCCTGTCGGTGAGCAGCTGTCTCGCTGGTTGTAGTGTTTGTGTCCAGGAGTGCCAGGCTCCGGATTGTAGTTTTCAGTGAGAGGGAGGCCTCTGGGGGCTCTGGAAGGGGAGGATGCCCTCGCTGGCTTGTGAGGTGGTCACCCCGGGCCCTGTCACCCCACCCTCACAGAGCAGAGGGCCACACCCACCAGGGAGCCAGGTCTCCCAGCCTCAGGAGCTCAAGATCCTTTGTGCCGTGTCTCCCCAGGAGTTTGAGATCGAGCTGGAGGGCTCCCAGTCCCTGCGGATCCTGTGCTATGAGAAGTGCTACGACAAGACCAAGGTCAACAAGGACAACAACGAGATCGTGGACAAGATCATGGGCAAGGGACAGATCCAGGTGGGCATCCCGGGCACCAGGCAGGGCTTTTGGGGGAGGTGGTGGCCTTCTGGGTCAAGATGCTTGAGCTTCTGTGACGCTGGCTCAAGGCTGGCTTGAGAGCGGTTCCCGGGCCGCAGCTGGCTTGTGGCACCCCAGCAGCCATGTGGGCGTGGCTCCCCTGGCTTCCACACCTGGCTCAGGTGGCTTGTCCCCACTCCTGCAAAATAGACCAGAGGACAGCAGCTGCCTTCGTGTTCACGTTCCAACTTCAGTTTGTTGTTGGCTCGCTCCTGGGAAGGGTTCTGACGCTGTGTCTGGGAGCAGGAGGGATGAGTGTGTTGGATGAGCTGTGTCTGCCGGCTGCCCGGTATTAGGAGTGAGCACGCGTCCCCTGCTGGTGCTGTCCTCTCAAAGGCTTAGCTTGCTGCAGGGTTGCTGGAGGCTGGTCTCTGACCTGTGGCCAGGTCACTGGACCTCGTGGATTCTCTGAACACCAGTAGAGGCAGGTCCTCGCCGTCAGCTGTGTTTCCTGGAGCCCTGAAAATATGGGTGTATGTAGGAAAAAGGCACTGTTTGCAGTCTGTGTCTCTGGAACATTCTGAATGCCAGTTTTGAGGGTGACAGCTCCTCACTTGTTGAATGAGCCAGGCACTAGTGGATGGGATGGGACTGAGCCCTTCTCCACGCTCCAGGCCTCTGTGTAACCTCGTAGTTGTGGCAGAAGCAGATTCTGGGCTTGCGAATGGGCCTTAAGTGCTCTGGGCTTCTTAATGGCTGCCCAGGTGTGACTGGGTGCCGGCTGGGACAGCCCTGTCTACCACAGGAGCTAGATGCTGCTCTGCCGTAGGGAATGTTTGTTTCCCGATGCATTTTTGAGGTTGCAACTTGATATCTGGCCCTTGTCTAAGTGGTCTTTGGCATTGGGACCTGTGTAGGTATCCCACTACTCCCCACACGTCTGAGGCTCCAGTGTTTCTGTTGTTTTTAAATTTATTTGAGAGACATGGAGAGAGAAAGAAAGCTCCCTCCCACTGATTCACTCCTCACCTGCCCACAACCGGGGCTGGGCCAAAGCCAGGAGCCAGTAACTCCAGGTCTCGCATGTGGGTGACAGGGACCCAATGACTTGAGCCATCGCTGCTGCCCCTGGGGTCTGCATTGGTGGGAAGCTGGAATTAGGGGCTTCAGTATTGGAGAGGGGATGGCACTGTTTGGTGGGGACCTGGCCATCAGCCTCATACTGCCCCGTGTTTCTGAGCACGTCGCTTCCTGACGCTGTGGGAACTGTACCCTGCTCATCAGTCCTGTCACCAGAGATACAGTGTTGCTGGGCAACCACAAGCCAGAGGGAGAGGGAGAGGGAGAGGGAGAGAAGAGCTCTACATTCAGGGGATGGGAGCCCTCCAGTCCCCAAGACCCCCTGAGGACTAGTGCCTGGCTCTCACACACCCAGGCTATAACAGAAGGCTTAGAGAGGGTGCCCAGAGCAGCCAGCTCAGGGGGCACTTCGGGCGCTATGCACCCTAGAGCTCAGATCCCAGGCCCCAAAGACCACACTCCCCCCTACCTGGACTTCAGCCCTGTTGTCTTCGTCATGGTAGTCGTCTTCATCATAGTCACCGTCCTCGTGGTGGTCCTCCTCCTCTCTCAGCTGCACACCCCCAGGGGAAACACACCATCAATCATGAGTCTTGGAGACAGGAGCAGATGGAGGCTGGGGGAGGGGGAGGAAGCCAGGTTATGTTTGGCAGAGCAGAAAGCACCGTCTGGGAAGGAAAATGTTCCTGTGTTTAAGCTTCGAGGAATGCTCGGGGCCTGGGAGTCAGTGCTAAGCGCAGACCTTCCTGCTGCCAGCTGACCTGGGCCTGCCACAGGCCTCTGGGCCTTTGGGCTCCCCCAGCGTCCAGTCCCCCAGCCACAGAGCCATTGTAGCAGCGTCCTGTGGACCCAGGAGGGGGAGGGGGTGCCCCCCAACGAGCACACTGGGGCTCCTAAGGCGCCCGTCCCCAACTGCCCTCAGAGCCCCTGAGCACAGCCAGGCCGGGTGTGCGGTCTGCTGAGCCTTTCCACGTGGCCAGCCCTGTGGAGCCACAGAACGCTCCGCACCCATAGCCTACTCCCGCCGCCTTTGCTGCCGCACGGCCAAGAACGGGAACCGGCACCGGCCTTAAGGTGGCCCCGAGGTAGCACCAGGTCCTCAGGGGAGTTGAGGTGGCCTGGAGAAGAAGCTGGGGGAGGAAGGCCTGCCTGCCTCTGCCGTCCCCTTCCCTCAGAGCCCCCTCCTCCTCCGCCTGCTCCAGCCTCTGCTCCTGTGACCATTCCCTCTCTCGAAGGCTTCGCCTGGTGTGGCAGGCTGGGGCTGACAATGTGTAGTGACAGGCTCATCACTGGCACGCGCGTCCAGCACATGTGCTCCAGGAATCCCGTTCCCAAGTGTGCTCTCCATGATCCTTGCAACCGCTCTGCGAAGGATCTGACCATCAGACCCTCCCCACTTTGCAGCTGAGGGTGCTGAGGTTGATGCCAGCGAGCAGGGAAGGCCAGTGGTCCCCATGGCTCAGGCCTCCCTCCAGCAGTCTGCCAGCCTGGGCTGAGGGCCTTCTCCTGTCCTGACCTGGGGAAGGAGACAGGCATGGGGTGGTGTCTGCCCTAGGATCATGAGGCACAGGGGTTACCTAAGGCAGAGGGCAGGCCTGGCGAGGAGCATTTTGCCCAGTGTGGAGCTGGCTGCCCCGGGACTTGCAGGGTCCCCATCTAGAGGAGCTCCTATCAGATGGGGAAGGCACACGTGCCAGGGAATGAATGCCAGGCCTCCAGGGAGCAGGCGGATGCCAGTGCCTGGGAACGGGAATGTGTGAGAGTGTCCGGAAGCCCAGCCCCGTGCCGGGGGCTTCCATCCCTTACCACAGGGCCTCTTTGGCGTACCCTGTGTGTGGCAGCATTAGCAGTTGTAAAAGGGGTTAAATAACCTGTCCCAGGCCACGCAGTGCAGGTAGGAGAGTCACGCCTTGAACCTGGGCTGGTAGCCGGCTCCAGACCCCAACTATAGATGCTCCTCTGCCTCCCGCTGCTCCGTAAGCAACAAGATGGGAACTTATGCCGCAGGAATTCAAAGAAGGAACTGGCCGCCACGGGCTGCAGTTAGGGAGGCTTTGGTGGGGGGTGCAGCGAGGGGGGTGCGAGAGCACCGGGTATTTATTTTAGAGGGAAAATTGCAGTTGTAGTAAAGAGACTTGGAACCCAGTCACAAACCACTCCTCCCTTCTCCTGGTATGTAAGCTTTAACATAGCTTTGATCATAGTGTGTGATTTATATTTTTCTATTTTCGTGTAGTATTATCAAAACCCCCTTTTTTGGGGGCAGGGCTGCCCAGTCTTTAGAACTGCCTTTTTTGATGCGTTGTCAAAAGAAATTTGTACACTCCATGGAAGTCCTTTCATTTGACAGCAGCCCACAGAGTAAGTGCCGTTTTCAGCTCTGTGTTCCAGCAAGGTGGGCGGGCTCGGGGTCAGCTGAAAGCAGTGGGCTGGGCTCTCCAGGGGCAGGACCCGTGCAGCCACAGGCAGGGGCGTCCCTGGAAATGAAGGTCCCCAGCCACCCTAAGCAGGAGGGGAAAGTAGGAGGGAGGGGAGGGGAGGAGTAAATCATGGGGTTGGGGGCAGAAGGACTCCTGGATGCATTTAATCCAATCCTGGTCTTGAAGACAAGCAAACAGGGCACAAAGGGTAAGCGGCATGGTCACAGCCACACAGCTCCGAATGCCGGGTCCCCAGCCCAGGTCGGTCATGTGTGGTCAGCTGCTGGGCACGTGAGTGGATGGAAATGCTCGTAGATGGTGCGGGGACAGGTGTGGCTGTCAGCCTGTCCTTTGTCACTGGAGAGTGAGTGGGAGATCCCACCAGCTTGGTCCCCTTCTCCTCTTCCAGACCTGAGGAGCCAAGGCCTCTGATTCTCCATCCAGGCCATCCCACCCTCTACCTCTTCGTGGTACCTGGCCCCAGCCAAGCCAGGGTAACAGCTCTGCCAGGAGGTCCTCCCCCCACCTCAAGCTCTGTCTGCCCTGGCTCCCTGGGGACTCCTGCATATTTGTTCTAATCTATTTCCAACCATGCTGCTCCAAGGCTCCAGATGTGCTGTCCCCAACTGGGACCTCTCCGCCTACTGATTAGCATATTCCCAGGGCCCAGCCCATCTTGATTGGCTGGGCCATAGAAGAAGACTGTCCCTCAGGGCCCCACAGTTCAGCTCCTGTCCCTGAACTCAGTCTGGAGAGGGGTCTGAGACCAGGGGGCCGTCTCATGCAGGGGAGCCCCTCTGTGCCCTCACCACTCCTCCCTGCTGCTTCCCCGCACACAGCTCTGCCACAGGCCCAGGACGGCCCCCTCACCCCGGCTCCCCTTGCATGGGAGGCAACTCGGCTTCCCCAGCCGCCTGCCAGGGCAGTGCCTCCTGGGACCCTTCCAGGGCTGCAGGTCAGGAAGGAAGTCCAGCGTGCCGATGCCTGGGGGTAGCTCGCCCTCTCTGCTGACTGCAAGGTTCAGGCTTTTCCCTTCCAAAGCTTGGAGCCCATGGGGGTGGGGGTGGGGGATGCCTTTGACATTCTTGACCGGGCCACCAGGCAGCTTGTGAGAGATCAGAACTGTCATCGGTGGTATTTAGGAGGTCAGGAAGGCCAGTCCCCTGCTTTCAGGACTGGGAATGTTCACCAAGCCCAATCATTTCATTCTTGTTTTAGTTGTGTTACAATGTATATAACATAAGTGGAGTCTATTTAATAAGGTTTAGGTGTACAGACCAGGAGCAGTGTTATCCAACCATCACCACCACCCCTCACCCAAATGAAACTCTGTACCCACTAAATAGGAAACCCCCACAGCTCCGCGACAGCCTCCATCCTACTTTCTGTCTGGACCAGGGGCTTTGTGCCGTTACAGGGGGCGGATTCCATTTGGGGCCTGAGTGTCACTCCCTGGAATGGGTGGGAGCGCGTCTTGCTTATCTGTTCACCCACTAGTAG